GAGAGAGAGAGAGAAGGGAGAGTTGTGTTTGGTGGGAACAAAGTGTGAAGGGAAGAAATAGAGGGGGAAGAGATAAGGGGCGGAGGGGGAGGAGGAAAGGAAAGAACATGGAAATAGAACCCACATAGGGTGGCGTAAGCGAGATGACGTAGGTGCTGATGTCAGAAGCATCTAGTTGCTCTCTGACGCGTGCAATTGGCTCTCTCGACTAGATTTGGGCAGGGTCATGTTTGGATTACGCTCGGATCAATTGGCGTCGATGACGTTGGAGTCGTAGGAACTGAGTGATTTCTAGAACAGCTTATCCACACACATACACCGGCGAGTGGACTTTGACGGAGCACAGGAAATCAAGGTATCTGATTGTTCATGCTTTCGATGACAGTAGCAGTGGATAGGATTAATCCACCGACGCCGGCAATGTTGTCATCTTTGCCAACTCAAACAGTAGGACATGCATGCTGCAGATGATGATCCAAGACTTTTCAGAAACTAGGGGTTATGACATGGCTTGAAGAGACACGTTTGTCAAGGGCGAAGGCCCTCTCATGGCCACCAACGATTCCAAGGAGATCAGCACGCAGTGGATGCATCAGATGCAAAGTCCAGCTTGCCTCTTCGGAGCCGTTCGGGCACAAAATAAGGTTCTTTGGCGCAAGTGATGTGACAATTGGAAGCACCTCGGAAATTTGAGGGCACAGTGGACGCACGCCACGTACCAACGCAGTGAGCTGAGGAAAGGCAAGAAAGCGTGCCTTCCACGGCAACCTCTCAACCATCTCTTTAACGTCTGAACTGCCATACTAGACTTTGATAAGAATCGATCCTATGTAGCTGCGAATTAAATCCATAATTGTTTTATAATATTTTGTTTTTTATATATTTTATATTCAAAAAATACGTTAGACTTTTACCCATTACGACCTCCTAATTGATTTTTATATTAGAATTTTTTTATTTTAATAAAAATATTCTTCTATTACCACTCCTATCTCTCGTTGTCAATACTTCGTCGTCGTCGTATTATTCTTGATCTTTCACTCATTCGTTGAACGTTGTTGTTATTATTCTGTTCTCCACCATCGATCATCCTCTTTGCATGACATAAAGGGTCTGTCGCTTTTGACTAGTGCCCATTACTCGTCATTGTTATCACTTGCTTCGATCACGATAATACAACACTGATATATTAGCGATTGAGGATGAGTGATAGAGGATAAAGTAATACATTTGTTTAAGTGATAAAAAAAATATTCCTAAATAAAAATCAATTAGGGAGTTGATATTAGATAAAAATTTGATTATTTGATTTTTTTAGGTGAAATACTCTTATTTTTCTAAGTTATGATGGACGTTTTTTTAGGTAAAACATGCGAAAATAGTCACTAAATCGATACAATATTATGACTAAAAATGCAATTAAGGCCTGTTATTTTATTCCAATTAAATTAGTCTATTTTATATTTACAATTATAATTATTAATTTACCTAATATTATAAAAATAAATTTTTATTAATTTATAATTTTAAAATGGCCCACGTAAGTTACAAATTAATGACATTCGCGTTATTAACACCACACTCTAACCAACAAAGCTAATAGATCGATGTAAATTAATGATTTAAACTTTATATATCTTTGTAGATGTGTCAAAAGTCAATCTTTCGTAAGAAAGAAATGAAGTGTCTGCTTACAGCAGAAATTTCTTAATGTGCATCACTAACATGAAGAATGATGGGGTCTCGTCTTAAGCCAAATGTACTGCTGCATGGAAATAGGTGTTATTAGATTCTGTTATTTGCTCCTCCATCGATTTGACGCACGTCTTCTAAAGGTGTTTTCTTCTTCCTTAGGCGACGCTAATTTTATCAATCTGTAAGGCTCTCTCTCTGCATAAAGTGAAGCTAATTTTAGCTTTCTTTTCTTGCAAAAGTTTGGAATAAGTCCACGCCTTTAGATCTTTTCAAGTTGGATGTCAAGTAATTGCAACCGTACTTAACAATCAACAAAATGATTGCTGCTATCAATAACAGCAATTAACAGAGGCATCTTATTTTCATATAGTCAGGCTTTCTTCAAGCCTTCTCTCTCTCTCTCTCTCTCTCTCTCTCTCTCTCTCTCTCTCTCTCTCTCTCTCTATATATATATATATATATATATATATATATATATATATATGTAGGAAGTCTAAAGTTGACTGGCCTCATTCAACGTAGAACCATCCATCAAAGTTTCTCATGAACAGATCCATCGACTCCATATCCAATTCGTCAAGCGTGTTTACTGTGATCAAGCCTTCGTGTTGACATGGCTGTTCTTGTTCATTGCTTGACGAGCACTTGTCGTGGCTCTCGCTATGGGTGACGACCGACGAGGGAGGAGAAAGGTGCAGGTCCTGCAAGTCCGATGACCCGGTGGAATCGCTGCCATGGAGGGAGGCTTTCTGTGGAGAGGATTCCACCATCAGTACGGGGAAGATGGTCTGGGGGGTTTTGCAGGTGTGTTTCATGCTGTACTCCACCATGAAAGTGGGTGGGTCGGCATAGCTATCCTGTTGCTGCACTGTCTTCGTCGCCGGGCATCCTTGGTCGTCCCTGTAAGTGCACTTGTAGTAGCACCTGTGTGGGAATCATGTGTCAGAACTCACGAGATCCAAACCAGAAAGTACAGGAGAAAACCTTGACCGAGGAAGATCACCTCGGATACATTGCATCGTTGATAGTTTTCTGCCCATACTTCCTCCATTGATAGCCATCCTCATAGGGCACAGTCGTCTTAACCTTGGTCGATGTTTTGTTCTTCCTCCTGCAGCTTCCTTGGTCAGATAAGAGAGTTGCTGATGACCAAGTGAGGGAACTACAAGACCTGCAATCCAATTACCTTGTCCGACGGCCATGAGGCCCATCCCTTCCCTCCGAGCTCTTGCTCAGTTCGCCGGAACAATTGCCAGTTCCGCCGTCGTCGGATGCCCCACAGCCGCAGAATTGGAGGGTGGAGAGAGCGGAGGTGGTGAGCTGCAGTATCTGCTTCGCCATGTCTTGTCCCAGCTGCGACCAGCTACCAGCAGGCAAGTGCAGGAGAACAGCTTGCAGTTGGCTCGTGAGTTCATGCGCTCGACTGATGTCTTGGATCGCCGCGCGACGGCCACATGGCGACAGCGCTGCGGCTTCGGCATGCGGTGTGTTCCCCCCCTTCATCTTGGCGATTGCGCGAGGCAAGACTGCTTGTTTGCTACTATCCTATGTTGGATGCAAGAGAGAGAGAGAGAGAGAGAGAGAGGGCTTGCTATGTAATGGTGAAGACCATATCAGATGCAGTGGCTATGGTCCGGTCTTGGCAGTTCATATTTTGGTAGGGGGAATATATCGAGTGTCAGGCACAGAGGACGCCAACAACGAGACATGTCATGTCACCTTCCTAGCGTCAGCCTGTGTCCTCCTGAACGGAATCATTCCAGTGTAAACACCATGAATACTGGCAAGAAAGCAGAGAGGTCGGCCAGATCGACGACTTGGACGACTAGCTTCGTAGTAATACCGGAACGAAGTTATTTGACATCTGTGTAACACATATCACCTAAGGTAAACGAGGAAGGTCACGTAACCATGCACATAAAGATTAGTTAACGGTCAGCACCATCCAAAACCTATGGAATCTATGCGAGACTTCCACAGACGAGGATGAAATTGGATTTGTTGGCTTCCGCAAAAGACTGACCATCTCTTTCATCACGGGTTCAAGAAGATGGTAACGAGAAATGTATCATAAATAGTTGTTTATAACATACTGATCATTCCCGTTGCGGAATGCACACAAAACATCAAGCCTTAGTATACGGTTCATCCTGTCTCATGACATTTCTCAGACACTTGAATGCATGGCCTTGGGATGCTAAAGGGGCACCAAAATGGTTGGTTTCGGAGCCTTTCATTAATTTGATTCCGCAATGTTCAGATCAATAAGAGGAAGGACTGCTGACATGTGATGTGGTTCGCACTGGGTGACGATCTTGCAAAGGCGACCTGTCACCATCCACGAATACCTGTCCTCGTACTGCTAGTCAACTCGACATGTCCCCATCCACTTTGTTGTCCTTCTTCTACGATAGTTATGTTAGTGTTCACATTAGCGAGCACATAACAATATAGTAATATAGCCGGGACAAAGATTATAGGTGGCTCATTCGGACCATTATTTGTTTAGCGAACCCAATGTAGACCCCAAGAGACTGAACCACAGCTCGACAGCGACGGAACCTTCATGCCGACTATAAATGGGAAGACGTGTAATTTTACGTCGATCTTGACCCCAAGAATGACACAACCAAACTTAACTTTATGTCTAAGATATGATTTTGCCGACGACCTCTACGGTTTTTTTTTTTTTGTCTTGACGAGAGGTATTAGGGGCAAAACCTTAAGAACGATTGGCTCATATGTTTCATCCCAAGTTTTTTTTTCCTCCATGATAAAGACCATTTGGTCTGATCATTGGTGTGGTTCGTAAGCTTTCGAGGAATTATCCGCTTTGGACGATAGGTGTACCAATACGATTTTATCCTTTTCAAAACATGTGAGATCAAAAAGACGCCTCTGAGGCTAAGGGAGACATGACGGACTTATGAGCCATTGGTTCCCATACTCCTTAACCAATACGAGACTAAATGACCTTATCAGTGCTGGCGCTAGTATGGAAACTCAGGGCTCATAAGTCCATCGGTTCTCCCTTATCCTCATAGGCATCTTTTGGAACTCACATGCTCCGAAAAGGACAAAACCGTGTGAGTATGCCCATCGCCCAAAGCGGACAATTCCTTGTGAGCCTACGTGCCGCACCAATGGCTGGTCGACCAAATGGTCCCTTATTAGATTGGCGTTAGAAGGAGGGCCTGAGGCCTGCACCTTGGTCGAGCAAACTCACTCCCGAGCCGTGCACCTTGGCTATGAGCCCTTGACTCCCCTACGAGAGGGAGCACTGATAAAGTCATTTAGTCTCATATTGGATGAGGAGTATGAGAACTAAGGGCTTATAACCAAGACGCACGACTCAAGAGTGAGTTTGCTCGGTCGAGGTGCAAGTCTCGGACTCTCCTCCTAGCGACAATTTGATAAGGGACCATTTGGTCGGTTGGTCATTGGTGTAACCCGTAAGCTCATGAGGAATTATCCGCTTTGGGTGATAGATGAATGTTCGACCAAATGGTCGGCTCGTATGTTTCATTTTAAGGGATACATGATGGACTCACGAGTCCTTAGTTTCCATACTCTTCAATCAATATGAGACTAAATGATCTTATTAGTGTTGGCATCGGTATAGGAACCCAAGGCTCATAAATTCGTCAGGTTTTCCTTATCCTCATAGGCGTCTTTTGGAGCTTACATATTCCGAAAAGGACATAACCGTATAGGTACACCTATCGCATAAAGTGGACAATTCCTTGCAAGCCTACGGGTCGCACCAATGGTCGGTCGACCAAATGGTCTCTTATGAGATTGACGCTAGAAGGAGGGCCCAAGGCCTGCACCTCGATCGAGCAAACTTACTCCCGAGTCGTGCACCTTGGCTATGAGCCCTTGGCTCCCCTACGAGAGGGAACATTGATAAGACCATTTAATCTTACATTAGTTGAGGAGTATGAGACCCAATGGCTCATAAGTCCGCTAGGTCTCTTTACCCTCAGAAGCGCTTTTTAGATCTCACATGTTCCAAAAGGATAAAACCGTGTGAGTATACCCATCGCCCAAAGCGGATAATTCCTCGCGAGCCTACAGGCCGCATCAATGGCTGACCGACCAAATGGTCCCTTATCATATTGGGATTAGAAGGAGGGCCCGAGGCCTGCACCTCGACTGAGCAAACTCACTCCCGAGTCATTCATCTTGACTATGAGCCTTTGGGTCTCCTATGGGAGAAAGCACTGATTAGGTCATTTAGTTCTATATTGATTGAGGAGTATTGGAATCAAGAGCTCATAGCCAAGGTGCATGGCTCAAGTGTAAGTTTGCTTGACCGAGGTGTAGGTCTCGGACCCTCGTTCCAACGCCAATTTGAAAAAAGATCATTTGATCGGCCGACCATTGGTGCGACTCGTGAACTTAAAAAATTATCTGCTTTGGACGATGAAGGGATGTCCAATCAAATAGTCCCTTATCATCTTCCAAACTCCTTAAGCTCAAAATTTTTACATGGCGCATGTCAGCCAAATTGAACATTCCTTCGTTCCGAAGATTAGATGAGCTATGATCTTCGATTGTCATTTAATATTTATTTTTGCCGCATTAAAAATATATGATCCTGTTGTTTTCCGTGTTTCTAATACTTATAGTCAGTCTACTATGGCAGGACAGATAAGGTCACTAATTTGGGTCCCGTTGACGCATTGATATTGATAAAGTCCACTTCTGGAAGCAAACAGACTTGCATGCTTATGTTTATCCATATATACAAACAGTTTAATTGACTGATCAGCTGCCCACCTTAATAAGCCATCATGACAGTTTGTACCCTTCAACTATTGTGATGAAATATACTATTAAATAAACTTCACACCATAGTGATTTATAACATTAACAAAATGCTTCAAAGCAATATTTGCAAATGACTTGAACTTCTAATGACTAGTTACGATGAATTAGAGCAATCGAACAATTCGATAGCAGATAATTGACATAAAGTCACTTGGATTTGGTTGTATCCTAAAGCAGAGACATATCTCCACTTGGGTGGCTCTCCATATTGAACTGTAGCAGCACTAGGGTTCTACTCATATAGTCATATTGCTATTCCAAATGAGTATGCAAGTTGTCCCTTAGATCTAAGCTATATATAATTATATATATGAATGTGTTCAAGGAATAAGCAACTTGCACGAACAAAATGGAGTTAAAACTACCTGATGGGGATACTGAAAGCAGCAGTTTTCCCTCTCCCAGTCTCAGCACAGCATAGGATATCCCTCCAACCAGCTTAGTTTCGAGAGATCCCTCCCAGCCTGAAGATGAAAAGAAGTGTCTTGAATGATGCACAAAATGTTTCTAGAGAGCATTAAAATAAAAGGCCAAAATCAGCAAAGATCCATCAACATTACTGCTCATTCAGATATTCGAGCAAAACAATAAATGAAATGTGCACAGTGATATTTTTACCATACTGCTGAATGACTTGACAATGCAAGTACAGAAATGGGATCAGAGTCAACTGCAGCATCCACATTTAGCCACTACAACAAAATACACCTTTGCCAGTGAGTTTCATGTACATATTACAGCAGTTTTCAACCTAAAAAACTGCAGTAATAGATACTGTCAGGAAAATGTATCCCTGCAGAGCCAACTGCAGCATCCACATTTGGTCATGAGAAGAAGTCGTTGAATCTGGAGAAAGAACATCAGATACCAATACCAAACATTCACTTAAATTAGTAAAAGCTTGACCAAAAATACATGATCAAGCTTTGAAGAACTTCGATAATTTTCTTTTGTAGTAAAAGTGATGTTCAACACTGCTTTAATCTGCAGAGTAAAAGTGAAATGAAGCCATAAGAGGCATGAATACAAAAAGAAAACTATGACTATAATTGTGAAACATAGAAGAGATGCTCTTAGCTAGGCCATGAACAAAATTGTCCAAAGAACTTTCGTTCACAGATGTAATGCAAATTATTGATATGTTGCTGTAGATTGTGAATCGGACCTAACTAACATTATTCCTTGGCCCCGTTCAACAATATCCAAGCACCATGTAGCTATCCCTAAGAAACTATTTATTCCAAGGTGGAGCTTCATCTAACCCCAACACAAATAAGCCTTCCGGGATCAACATGTTTGAGCCAACATTATGCTTTAGTTAATAGTGTTTCTTCTTAGGTTCTCTTCACCGTTATCTGCCAATAGTCATAGTGGTATGATACTAAAACAACTCATTTATCCAATATATTCACAAACTAGAAAAACATGGACATGTTATATTATCCATTATATTTGTGGACTAGAATGTTATGAACATATTATTACAAAGAAATCAAGCAAGGGCATGAAAGACCAAATGGCAGAGAAGATGAGAAACTATATGTAAGACACCCAAATTTACATATTGAACTTAATTTAAGATGTATTCCACAATGTAACTAATAAATAATATAAAGATGGCAGGATAAATAATAACTCATGACATGAGAATGAAAGAATGAGAAAGTGGTCTGAAATACCATTCTAAAAAAGAGCAATCAAATCATTTTTATATTCTCTAATAAATTTTCCTTCAGTTCTCCTTACCTTTCCTCATGCCATGCCAATAATTCACAACTGATTCAGCTCAATCAAAGCTCCACATGATTCTTTGAGAAAATGTACTTTTCTACTCAAACAAATTACAATTTGTATTAAAATAAAACAGGTGGCAATTTTGTGTTAGCTTGTTTAATTTCCAACATAGTTTGGTTTGATTCGGTTCAAGAATTCCAAACTGAACCAATGGACCGTAGTAGCTTAGGTTTTAGGTTTTGCAGAAATGACTAACCTTTTGAACAATGGAGACTGAACGAAATAACGGAACAACTGGAATTCCAGATCAATAATCAAAAGCAGGGTAAGAATAGTTCTTAAAACACAAAAACTAGAATAAGATTGCATTAACATACATGAACATAATCATCAGAGTTTAAGCAATCTTGCAGTATATTACGGCTCACCTCACATGATTCAGATGAAGGCAATGTCAACCTAGAAACACTTCACTTCACAGAAGAAGATATATCACTAGCAAACCCTTTTGTAGGAAAGCCCTTAGAAACACAAAGCCGATCAAACCCTAGAGCCATATAGGTTCCCATAACATCCGAGAACTTAGCAGCGACAACTGATTTCGTCGATTCGGAATCCAACATTCTACACGTATCAAGAAAACATCAAAGATATCACGATATGGGCAAATGCCAATTCAGAGGACACAACCCCCCACTACGAGCAGCCACCTAAGAAGAGACCAAGGAGACCTGCTCAGGGGCCGGCGATTGGCACGCGGACCGCCAGGATACTAGCGGTTTCCGGAGAAGGCTAAGGTGACCTGCTCATTAGCCCAACTAAAGAACACGATACCAGATTCGGTTCGGGTGATATTAAGTTCGGACAACCGAGCTCCGATAACACAAGAACCGTCTGATCCCAATCCTACGGTCGGCTGTGATCTTCCTCCGATAACACAATCCCAGTAGCAAAAGGTCCGGCAGGATGATGCGGACAACTGGGTCCGATAACACAAGAACCGTCCGATCTCAATCAAACGGTCAGACGAGCAGATGCCCTTCCCTCCCCCAACCGGTTTATGAGGCGAACAGAAAGGCCGTACCGTCGGTCGTTTTGCCACGACGAAATCCCTCGCCAGTGTGCCCCCCCCAAACGTCGCCCTCAAGCCCTCCGTCCGCCAACTCCACCTTCGCCTTCTCCGGAAACCGCTAGTATCCTGGCGGTGCGCGTGCCCGTCGCCGGCTCCTGAGCAGGTCTTCTTTGGTGTCTTGTTAGGTGGCTGTTCATAGTGATTTGTGCTTCTTTATGTAGTCCTTGTTAGCGAACAAATATGTTGTGGCTGGTGAGTTAGTACGGTTAGGTCCACGGGTCGATGTCGGGAGGCTACTGCGGGGTGATCTGGATGATGAGGTGGTCAGGCCCTCGGGAAGGAGTGCTGTTGGCGTTGGTCGAGATCAGGGCCGATTAACAGCTCCACACTACCGAGAGGCTGGTGCTCCCATGTCGAGTCCCTCGTTATCAACGAGTGGTTGCCCTCTTGTAAAAATAGCCACTCGACTGTGACCCCTCCGACGAGCAAGTTAATAATGATAGGAATTGTTTTTCTTTTTACCTTTTATTTTTTTGCCCCTCCCCTGGTCAAAGGCCGATCATGGGTTTTATACTATGGCGCGAGGGTTGATGGTGCGTCGATTCGACGTTGCCGCTGACCCCCCGAGCGATGGGATGACCCTTCTGACCGGTCGTCGTTCCGAGACGTGCAGGGCGACGACACTTCCCTGAGCTCCCGAGATGGGACGTGTGGCATATCTTCTTGGTACGAGCTTTCGGGACGAGAGGTATGGCGTAGGGTTCTGACTTGACGTGCTGTGTTGGTTATGACGTGTTCAAGCCGCCAAAATATACCGTATCACCTGTGTTATTAGCTCAACTAAAAAGAAAATAGTTGTTGAGATGATTAATTCATTGATGCAGTAATTATGCTGCTGGAATAAAAGAAACTATGGTTGGTGGTTAGTAACTCCGTCGAGCAGGTGTGCAGTAATTTTCATAAAGCAAATTTTGGTGTAGAGAAAGACATAATATTTCATTTCAGATTAGTTAATGATGCGAAAAGAAAAGATAAGATAGGATAAATTAAAAGAGAATAAAAAGCGAGGGATTAAACTAATATTTTTATCTTTTGTTGATAAGTCTTTATATATATATATATATTTGTGATAAAACTTATTTATTTATAGGAACATGAGAGTTATCAAGTTCAATTGTTGAGGATGCCTAATCTATCTAATTTACTAGTGGTTTATTATTTTGGTAATCTTTTATTTTGTGGTGATTTTTATCATCGTGTAATCTCTCTTTTTTCATTGAATTTTAAAGATTATAATTATTTTCATCCATGTGATTATGAGAAAGGTTTTAGTCCTATTTTTTAATCAAATTTAATTCTCTTAACATCTTTTTAAACTTAATTTATTTTTATCATGTATTCCAAGTGATGTCTTCGTCATGAAAAATATATTCGAATTCAGAGGCTTAGTGAAAATATTTATAACTTTCTCATCCAATTTGATGTAGTTTAATGAAATTCCTCTCGAATGAAATGGTGATTCACATCAATATATTTGCTTTGTTCAAGGAATACCATGTTCTTGGTCAATATAAATACTAACTTGTTATCAACATTTTTCTTTGTAACTTGATCTTGTAAATAATTAACTTCATTCAAAAGCTTTTTTAGCCACGCTACCACTCTATATTTTATTTCATATGTATACAATATTATAATCGATTGTTTTTCAGAATATCAATTAAAAACGATGTCGGCCATATAAAAATAAAGTCGTTATACTTTTTCGATCTTCTATAGCTAACTCCAATCACTTATTAGAAAGTGAATATAGTTGACCATGAATTATAGTACCTTTGATGTAGTGTAGAATTTTTTTAGCGACCTTCGTATGTGTCGACTTTGGTTCTTTTATAAATCAATTTACTAATCTAATTTTATATAAAATATTCAATCTCGTGCTAAGTTAGGTATCTCAACCTTCCCACTAAACTTTTGAAATAAATTAGACCAATTGATTTACAATCTTTCATCTTCAATTTGAGAACCTCCTTTATATATCTTTCTTCTAAAATGAAGATATATTTTTTATTTGACTTCACTTTAATACGAGAGAAATAAGACATGAATCTAATGTCGATTATTTCAAATATTTTTTACTATTATTTGCTTGAATTCTTTAAATATAAATAAGTTACTTTTAATAAAAATAAGATCATTTATATATAAGCAAATAAGTAAGAGATCTTTATTTTTTTATCTTCTTACAAATGACACATTCATAACGATATTGTTTATGATCGTTTTGCTTGAAGTAGGCATAAATTCTACTATTCTAAGATCTAGGTGCTTATTCTATGTATATTTTTTTAAAGAAAATTATTCAAAAATATGGATTTAATATCTATTTAATAAATTAATTAATTATTTTATACATTAATTAATATAATAAATCTAATAATTTTCATTCAGGAAAATGGGGGCAAATACCTCATCATAGCTGATGCCAAATTTTTTTGCTTATAATTCAATGCCATCAATCTAGCTTTGTACTTCTTAACTTAACTTTGTATATTTATTTTTGTAAACCCACTTCACATCAAAAGGATCTTTTATATAAGACAATGATACTAGTTGACTATCTATAAAGAGACAAACAAGAGATAACTCATCTATTACTCTTTATAAATGTTTTATACTTTTTGTCCTTTAAGATATTGAGCTGGAGATAATTATATAGGAAAAAGGATGTTGACAATAATGATGGTGAAGATGGTGAAGCAATTTCAAACTTCATTTGCTTTTGTTCGCTTTCATGCAACTCTTCGATATTCTTCTATCAATTCTATACATCCTCTTCATTAAACTCTACATCCTTAATTATAACAATCTTTGAATTATTATGATCAAATAATTTGTACGCTTTAGATTTAGGATCATATCTATTGAAGATGAGTTTGAAACTCTTGTCCTCTAACTTTGGTATTTCTTTGAAACATAAGATGCTTGGTTTTCTTCTAGTCCATACATATTATGGAGTTTTGTTCTCCAAACTCGATATAGGGCACCAATTTAGGATGTAGATGACACAAGCCATCTTTTCACTTAAAATTCTTTAGCACATTTTTTTTTTTTGTCTTGATCATATTTTTCACCATGTTAAAAATCATCTGTGTTATGTTCATTTTAAAGATTTTTAAATGCTTTAGAGGTGAATTCACCATCTCAATCGGAGTAGATGGTTTTGATGCAAAAGTTACTTTCATTCTCTATAAATGTTTTGATCTTCTTGAATATACCAAAGACTTCTCCTTTTTCTTTCGAGAATAAACTTAAGTTTTTCTTATATAATCATCGATAGAAGTTAAAATTTAATAATATTTATCAAAAGATGTTGTAGCAATAAGATATTAAACATTGATGTGAATAAGTTGAAGTGGCTTATTTACTCTAAAATTTGTCTTATGTGAAAAACTTGTTCTTTGGTGTTTGGCGAAAATAAGCTTTTCATATATTTGACTTGGTGTTGTATATAGAAAAAAATCATTTATCCTCTTCTTTAGTGATAATATATTGAAATCTTTAAGATTTAAATGTCTAAGCCTCAAGTGTCATAATTATGACAAGTCATTCACACAAGTCTTTAAACATTGTGTCACATTATTTAATGGTTACGATAAATAATATATTCTTTGACATCTTAGTTGAGTAATTAAGTGATTTGTACTGCTTTTAATAAAGAGTTGTTTGTCTTTCATATGAATATCATAATAATTTTCTAATAGTTGTCTAAGACTAAGAAAATTGTTCTAGTACATAATAAATATTTAAAAGAAATTGATGACTTCTATCTTTGAGGCATATAAAAATATTATTTTTGCCTCTCACTAATGCTTTTGAGGAGTCTTTAAAGTAGACTTATTCATTTACTATTTCATCCAGAATAAATTTTTATAATCACACGTGATAGCTAGCCCAAGTATCTAAGTATCACTTGTCTTAAATAGTGATATCTTCTTATTTATATACTAGCAATGAGAGAGAATTTTCTTAGGAATATTATTCTTTATATCTAATATATAATAAAGAAATTAATGACTTTCACCTTTGAGGCAGATCAAAATGTTATCTTTGCCTCTCATTGATAGTTTTAAAGAGTCTCCAAAGTAGACTTATTCATTTGCTATTTCATCCAACTCCATGGATAGATTTTTATAACCACACGTAATTGCTAGCCCTCGTGTCTAAGTATCACTTGTTTTGAATTACGATATCTTCTTATTTATGTACTAGAAACAAAAAAGAAGCTTCTTTGTTTTTTTCAACATAGTTAGTATTTTTCTTAACTTGATTGTTCATATTATAATAGCATTCAGAAACATAATGACTCTTTTTTTTTATAATAATAGTATTGAATTTTAGAACAATTATACCTTTGGTCTCTTGTATCTTTTTTTTTTTGCTCTTATTTTGGATTTTAATCTTTTTTATTTTTATTTTTCCTTTCCTCCTTGACCATGTCCTCTACAATAACCATGGCCTCTTCCATATCCATGACCTCTTCTATAACCATGATCACTTGAGCCTTCATTTTTTTTAAATAAGATTTTTATTTGGAGAACTTGTTTCACTACATTTGTTTTTTTTTTTGTTGACTAAATGTTAATATGCTTGCAAAGAACCCATTATTTTATCAATAGTCATTTAGTCTAAATCATTTGATTTTTAAATAGAGATCATAAAAATATTGAACTTTTCAAATATTGATTAAAGTACTTTTTGGACCATATGTATATTTCCTAAATTCTCATCATTTCTTTTTGGTTGATTAACAATAATAAAAGCTCTTGTAAAATAATCTAAAATAGTTCAAACTCATTTATTTGCGATGCTTCAAATTTTGTGATTGAAGTTGAATTTTTTTCATCTTTTTAACTCCTTTGAAAGAGTTGAATCTCCCAAGTATCTTTAGAGGTGTTGCCGATTGTAATTTTCTCAAAGTTGCCTTCATGTAACCCTTGGTAGATAAAGAAGAACACATTCTTTTTTATCTTTCTCATGTTATTCAAAAAAATCTCTTTAGTTTACTGTAAAGATGACATTATCTTAAAGATCCTTATAGCTTCTTTTTAACACTTCCCACATGTCTTGTGATCCAAACAAGACCATCATATATGATGCTCTAAATTTTTTAGTTGTTTTTTTGTAAGGTGAGACATTTGAAGTTAAATGCTATTAGCCATTTTGACTTAGCTTTGATATCACTTTGATAGGAAATAGAAAGGATAAGATAGAGAAAGTTAAAGAGGAAGAATTAGGGGATGAAACAAGAGACAAATTAAAATTTTTATTTTTTGAGATAAGTCTTTAAGTTTTTTTTTTCATAATAAACTCTTCCATTTATAGGGTCATAGATGAGAGTTTTGTAATTTAATCATTAAAGCTACTTTCATATACTTTTATTATATGTAATTTATCTAATTTAATAATGATTTATTATTTTCATAATCTCCTTTTTCATGGTATTTTTATAATAGTATGGTCTCTCCATTCTCACTAATGATTTGGGGAAGATGGCTAGTTTTACTTAGTTCAATCAGGATGTATATCAAGAACTTATTCTACCTTAGATGTTAAAAATACACGGTGTTGAACTTGTTTCTTATGTAATGATCAATATTGAGATGTATATCTAATACTCAAATTTGATTCTTGAAATAGGTTTTGGAGATAAGAAGAGTATTCGATCTCGACAATCATACTCTAGATTACTTTTTATAGCTAATATTCCTCTAACCATAAGTAGTTAAGGAAATATTCCTTTCTCATTTTTTTTATAATGTGGCTATCATATGTTAAACTCCGGTAAATATTTTCTATATCATTTACCCTCATTCAAAATTATATTTTTGAATACTTCTAACGAGCTTTGAAGTGTCATGGCTTTGTTATCTTGACAGGTTGGCTTTTGATGACCTTATCAAAGGTTATCGAGTGCTTATACAAATAAATTATCGGGATCCTTCGAACTCTTCTCAAAAGCATATTAGGTGAACACTGAGCTCGAGGAGAGAATATCAGGCAACTTGATACTTGGTCCGAGAAAGTTGCATTGGGCTACATTTGATGCTTAATATGAGAAAGATGTATAAAGTAACTTCAAATGCTTAGCCACAGAAGGGTGTATCGGACATCTTTCAATACGTAGATCGAGGAGGATCCATCAAACAACCTTTAATAATTAGCCCAAGAAGAGTGTACTGGGCAACCTTTCATATTTAGTTTGTTGATGGTGCATTAGACAACCTTCACTATTTGGCTTGAGGTGGATGCATTATATGATTTTTAATGCTTAGCATGAGAAGAGTGTGTTAGGTGACATATGATGCTTGAATATTATTTTCAAGATTTCATTAGACATTATGATATTGATAGAGGTCAATAGACATGCTGGTTAGTCTCTTTATAGAAATTGACAAGTGAAAAATCATTAAGTAGAACATTAAAGATAGAGAAGCGAAAAGGCCAAAAGATATATAATGTTTATACTCTATTTAGAATTCTTTGAGGCAAAAGAAGGCCTCACTTACATTTCAAGTCTTCTTGAGTTGCTTGAGTCTTAGTCTTCAATATTTCTATTCTTAATTTTGTCTTGGAACACCTTTCTCTTCTCCGCTTTAGATTAGGTATTATGGGTTCTTCATCTAACTTTTATGAGTCTCAATCTCTCAACCGTTGAATGGCCGAGGGACCTAAAGTTTAGTTCTTGGATAGCCTAAGGTCGAGAAAAAAAGTTATCATCTTCATCTTAGGAGGGGATACTAGTTGATCCAAGAGATGCCTTCAAAAAATAAAAAGTTGCTATGAATATAATTCTACCCTCACCCACAAGTTACTAGTGTGCTTTTGTCTCATGGACTCCATTTTGGATAAGTACGAGATGATTATGCCTTGATCAGATATTTGACTTTATATATAGAAATCTTGATATGTATGTCGATATATGGAGGTTGAGCTTTATTCTTACTCCATTCGCTCATCTCGATATGTCACAGAGGATATCATTCTTTATATGACATTTAACTTATATCTTATTGTATTTATTAATAATATAATCATATTATTATAACCTCGACCCATAACCATTTCCATTTGGAATTTAGTGTAGCTTATTTCGATATGTCCTTGCATTCTATTTTTTTCATTGTTATTGTTGATTATTCTTTCATTGTCTAATATAATTTTCTTTGTAAGAATGAATGAATCGCAAGAGGCTCAAGCATCAAATCTTGAGTCCAACATGACCAAAGCTAAGCCTGCTTTCATTACCATAATTCACCAATTTTTCTTTTATGGATATCGCAATGGAAAGAGGGTCAAACACACAACTATCATCGCTAATGTGGTTGTTGAGGAGCTTCAGATGAAGGTAACGATCCGACAACCACTTATTAGCATGCATTAATGAAGTTGTCTTAATTTCCTACGTGAATTAACCTCTAATAAACCACTCGATATGTGATAAAATAAAAAATAAATTTTAATCAATAATTATTATATCATGTGGACATCAATAGCGAGACATATTCCTCTCCGTACCTCAAGGATGACAAGACGAAAAATATTTTATTTATATGATAATATATTTTACTCGATTGATTCACTATCAAAAGCTATATTTGGGTCGTGACAGTTGAAGTCAACTAATGTTTAATAAAATTATCGGTCACACAACTTGTTGTCTTGAAAATTGGATTGATGGCGGCTTTTCACCCAACAAAGTTGCTGTGTCAAACAATTGCAGCAATCAAATAATTCATTGACATCGTCCATCAGCGATATATATGTCTTACATTTCACAACCGCTAGTCAAACCACTCAAATTAAGGAAAAAAACGAAGAGCAGCTGCTTCGCATCTATCTGAGTCAACCCCAATTACACGGTGGTTGAATCGAAATAGTCAACGAATCTGTTCTCAATCCTTGCTTCAGATTTGATTCCCCGTGTCCTCTCTCCGCATTCCGGGACGAGGCAGTCCGGCGGCTCTTCTGGTTCTTCTTGATGATTCGCCTTCCTCGTGGTACGGAGAGCTGCTTCCTCTTCCTGTAAACTCACTGCCGGCACGGCCTGCCTCCGAAGCCCTAAAGGAATGCCGCACGGTTGATGTGTCTTCGTGTTGCTCGCACAGCAGATCACTGGCGGACTGATACCCCATGAGCCGGTGAAGCCGTGGAGCCGCTATGGAGTTCGCGTCCCTTCCCAATTCTGCCTCGTTGTGCCTCTCCACCTCAGGATGAGCTCGAGCCATGGCAGGAAACGGCAAACTGAGAACTTCATGGCAATCACCGCACTGCAGCTTATGCGCCCGCCTTCTCGATACGAGGAAGTCTGCTGGGAGTTGGAGCAACTTGGTGCACTTGTCGCAGATGACGAAGGGCGAAGCTCCCGAGACGGGCCGACAATGGCGCTTCGGCTTGTCTTTCGGACCAGACCTCTCCGCCTCATGGCCGTCGTGCTTGTGCAGACTTCCGGACCTCGAAGAACGCGAATGCAGGTCATGGACACTTGCCGCGTGCGGTCGACGCCCTTGCAGACAGCGGGAGCAGGAACAGTAGGCTTGTTGTTCGGAGAAATGACTCCTTGGGAAGGTGGCATTTCTGGCTTGAGCAGCATCCGCGACGCAGAACTTTGCAAGATGGTCTCTCACTTCATCGATCTTCCTCAAGAGTTCCACTTTATCGTGCAGATGTGTCCTTTCGGGCGCCATCCAGTTGTGCGTGGACTGGAATTCGTCGGAGTCGAACGACGACATCCCTCCAACTTCATCGCTGCCGCATCTGGAAGAGCTGCCATCTCCGATGGCGTCAAAGCTTCGCATCGTACGCGAGCTGTTCCTCTCATTTGATGGATTGGGTGCGAGATACCTGGATTCGAGGTTGGCCTCGGCAGAGGCGGCCTTAAAAGTTCTTCGAGACATAGCCAGATGACGAGCACTGCGTCCATCATCTGAAGATGAGACACTGCCATCGTACGCAGGGGAGCTCATCGTAGCCGGAGACTTGAGAGCATCGTAGATTCCTTCATCTCGAGCCGTGCCAGCCATGTCTTCTTCCTCTGAGGCACTGCTGTGGCCAACAGAGCGAGAAGATCGCTCCACTTCACTGGCTAAATCGGGCTTCGGAGTGTTCTCGACTTGCTCGTTCTCGTCTTCGACTCTGCTAGAAGAAGCTCCACCGGCATCAGAGTCGCCGCCTTCGATTCCTTTGCCACGGCGATCGTCTTCGAGGTCATGCATGGTTGCAGGGGTTGTTGCTCTGACGACCGAAGAGGCCGATCCGGAATCTGAGAAACCATGGTCTGATTGACTCTCAGGATGGTCGACTTGGGGCGATCCTGGGGCGGCATTTTCTGCTGTGTCATCTTGATTCTTTGCTGCAGAGCAGGAAATCTCATCAAAACCAAGCATGAGGAAGGCGTCAATTGATGAGGAAGAGGGGAAGAACGTACCACGAAGTGCGATTCCACATCCCCCACACTGGTATACGGGAACATTAGGATACTCCACGAGAAGCTTATGGCATTTGGGGCATCTCACCAGCCTCGCCATGGTTGTTCTGTGACTCCAACAACTCACAGAGAGAAGCAAGACAAAGATGATGCCTCCCAAACCCCCATCCTCTCTCATGCACTTTTCTGATTGCTGAGAGAGAAGAGAGCAAACGAAATGAATCAGATGCTACATGCAATCAATATATGAAAACCCAGTGATGTTCTCATCCCCTCTCGATCCACCTCGGTGAATCTACCTGTAGATATGTCAACTGTACCAGATCCATGCATGCTCATAAAGTTTGACAGGAATCATTCAGTGATTCCACCACATAGAAGAGGGAAAACCAAAGAAGATTAGAACCAACAAATAAAGGAAGCTTACCTCTCCAGGTTGGAGGCCTCCATCTCTTTCCTTCCTTCCTTCTGTTCCTATCTCCCCTCCATCCTCTTCTTAGCGTATGCCCATCTACAGTGGATGCAGATCAAGCAACTGCCCTTTTCAGGTGGACAACAAGAAGGGTAACAAATGTTTTGGTCATAAGATCTTAAAAGAGAGCCATAAGCGACACCAAATCGACATCTAAGATCGTGTTGAGAACGCTGGTCAACGGAAGAACGTTGAGCCCCCTCCCGTCCTCCCCCGTATGAAATAACGGTGTTGGTGTACGAGAGAGCCAAAAGGGAAGACTTGGAACGATGCGGTGAAGTCCACGCTCGATAATCCCCCGGTTCAAGAAACATGCGTTGACTATTATACCCAAATAAATTCCTGTTTCTTTCGCTGTAAATTATTAGATAGGACGAGACGAGGTGGCGCACATCCGAACCCTTCCTCTTCCTCGTGATTCGGATGCCATGGGACCTTGCAGCTCACCCCGTCTCTGTCAAGCAGCGTGTCGCAACTAGCTTCATTGGGTCTGAAGGCAACGAGAACGAGCAAGACGGAGACGGTGGCGTCATGCATGAACACCATACATGTTTGAAAAGTATGTTGGTGCACCGTCAGCCACAGCTAATGGTTGACATGGCCTGGCGAGATCTGTTTAATGAGATGGTCAATCCACAGAGCAGATTTTATTTGAGATCAGAAGGAAGATGACGAAGAGTGCGAAATCGTCAAAGCTCGTGCGGTGACTCGTGGAATAGAGGGAACGACGTCTCGGCCTCACGAGCCCTCCGCCATTGGTTTCTGCATCCGAGACCCACCGGAGGGCCACCCTCTTCCCGTGATATCTCATCACGTCGACGCCACCGATCGGACGGTGTACAGTATCCCCATGTCCGATCATGCGTATTAGAAAAAGGATTAGTTAATTATTAGAATCACAGACGGAGGCATACCCAATTAAATACCATTACCACCAACCCACCGCTTGCTTCGTTGCGCATGGTCCCACGAACACGCCATACGACCACCTCCTTGGGAACGTCATAAACGCACCTTCCATCCCAACTAACACCGCGGTTGTCTCTCGCAATTGGAGCGGATCCGTGAATGGGAGCATCCAACGTTCAACCCATAGGACGGTACAGGAATTGGAGAGGATCCGATGATGGGTAGTGTTCGAGTGGGAACCAACGTAGGGTCGGTTCGATCGGTGCTTATAGCCTTGGCCTGGGCTGCTGCTCTGATCCGCTACGGGGCACATGCAATGAGCGGGATGGAGGGCGAGGAGTGGGGAGCGGTAGAGAGGAGGGGCACCCACTTCGTGGTCCAGGGCCGGCCGTTCCTTGTTCATGGCTTCAACACGTACTGGCTGATGGTCTTCGCCGCCGACCCGGCGACTAGGTGCAAGGTCAGCGACGTCTTCAAGGATGCCGCAGCCGCCGGCCTCACCGTCTGCCGGACTTGGGCTTTCAACGACGGCGGGTGGCGGGCTCTCCAGATCTCCCCTTTCGTCTACGACGAAGAGGTCTTCAAGGTACCGGTGACCGACCCTTCGCCACCTGTTCGATGTTGGGTCTAAGCCGATGGATCTCATCAGGGTTTGGATTTCGTGGTGAGCGAGGCAAGAACGCACGGGATGAGATTGATGCTGTCCTTGTGCAACAATTGGGAAGATTACGGAGGGAAGGCACAGTACGTGAGATGGGGCAAGGAAGCCGGCGTGGATTTGTCTGGTGATGACGACTTCTTCTCGGATCCCACTGTCAAAAGCTACTACAAAGCCTTTGTGAAGGTAAAACACAGGCGCAGTTTGGGCTATGAGAAGCTAAGGTAACCGGTTCCGATCACATCCTCTGCTTGCTTGATTTAGACCGTCATCACCAGAGTCAACACGATCACCAATGTGGCGTACAAGGACGATCCCACAATCATGGCGTGGGAGCTCATCAACGAGCCACGCTGCCCCTCGGATCCTTCGGGCGACACGTTGCAGGTTATGCTTTCGTCGACGCTGCTTGCTTCCACGGTGCACTAACCGTGTTCGACGTTTGGTGCTGCTTGTTCCAGGCATGGTTCGAGGAGATGGCGGCGTACGTGAAGTCCATTGATCCGACGCACCTGTTGGAGATTGGCGTGGAAGGTTTCTATGGCCCGTCGACGCCCGAGAGATTGCAGCTGAACCCGAACACCTGTGCAGGCGACGCAGGAACAGATTTCATCAGGAACCATCGAGTTGCAGGCGTCGACTTCGCCTCCGTTCACGTTTACTCTGATACATGGTAGGTCGATACGATTGCTCGACGGAGCCGTAACAGGTAGTGCTACTCGTAGTTAATCGGTGTCCTCTCGAAGGTTGCCAGATCCGGACTCCAACGCGCACCTGCAGTTCGTGAGAGCTTGGATGCATCAGCACATGGACGACGCCGAGAAGTTGCTCGGAATGCCGGTCGTCTTCGGCGAGTTCGGGGTGTCGGTCAAGGATGAGAGGTTCGAGTCCAGGTTCAGGGAGACCTTCATGGAGACGGTCTACGACACCTTGCTGAGCTCCAGGATGAGAAGGGATGTCGGAGGAGGATGCCTGGTTTGGCAGCTCTTTCCGGAGGGAACAGAGCACATGGATGATGGCTACGCCGTGGTCCTCGCCGATTCTCCCTCCACACTGGACATGCTGTCACAGCACTCCAGAAACCTACAGACACACCATTCCAAGGGCAGCTGCGGGAGTTCTGAGCCCCATGAAGAACTCTGAGACTCCGAACTCAGATCCCTGTTGTGATGCTAAAGCATAAAAAGCTCATGATGAGTTACGTAAGTAATACCGTCAGTTGCCATCTTCACCGAAAACCTACTTTCTCCTCGCTGGTGTGCAGATCACAACACACTGTTCATTCTTATCTTGGGTGTCTGATTCACTTCTGTAAATGCCACTGTGTTTGAATTGAGTGCAACATGAAATGAGAGATATGATTGAAGGTTGTATTGCAGCTTCAGGTGAACACAATGATGAAGAGTTCATCACAGCAAGTATAAGCAAGGAAAAAAAAGAAGAAGAAATCGATCTATACAGATCTTTTGTAACGAGTAATAATGGGGAAAAGAGAGAAAAAAAAGAGAGGAACTATTTGGTAAAGCTTAATTTGGAAAGAGCAGCTGCTGCCTGATCACCACTAAGTAAGAAATATGGGTGCCTCAGAGCAGCAGCAGAAGATAACCGACCTCTTCTGAGAAATCCTCTTTCCGATATCAACTTTGTGGCTAAATCCCAGCCTCGACCAGAATCTAAATCTAGCAACCGCAGGTCCGGGCTCAGGCGAGCGGGGATGGATTCCCGCCATTTGTTGAGATCATAACCGGCTGATTTCAGCTCGGAGTTGAAGTTCTTCAGGCCTGCGCCGGACCTCAAGCTCGGAACTGCCATTTGCATCAGTGTTATTCCGGCTGAGTACATGTCAAATAGATCGGGACTGTTTAGCTACAACAACAAACAAAAGAGGGTGTCAATGTTCAACAGAACCTTCTATGTGCTAGTCAGGAGTGAGATAGAAATCAAATGTCATCATAGAAGAACCCCAATGCATCCGAGTTTGAAGAAGGATGAAACAAATGAAGGTTCACTAAGCATCGAATACGATAAATATCTTTTAATTCCATTTGACAGGTAGACATGTTAAAACCACAGCTAAAAATCAAGCTAACAGAAAGAGAATGAAGAACAGACCTGCCAAAGGATCGGGGAGAGGATGGCGGCAATAGGTTCAGGTGGAGGTCTGGGTGTCTCCTCTGGAAGCACATACAGTTCAGGAGGACAATAATCAGGATCAAGCAAACCACGATCGGGTGTATAGTTTTTGCCGATGCGAAGGTCGGTAGCTGCGCCGAAGTCGATAAGCTTTATCTGTCCCTTCCGTGTCACCACCAAGTTGGAAGGTTTTATGTCTCGATGAACAATCCCGGTATCATGAATCCTCTTGAGAGAAGTTATTATCTGTCGCATGATCTGTTTAATGATGAGGGCACTCCTTTTAACTGAGTCCACTCCTTGGAGGACACGGCCAAACATGATGGACTCTAAATTGAATGGAAAGTTCCTATCCTTAATGTACTCAGCCAAGTTTCGGTCTCCCTAGAACAAGTTGTTAGCAGTGATGAGTAAGACAAAAATAAGTGTCCTAGAAACAATAGCATCCTCCTAAAATTTCTTAATAAGAGATCGGAACGCTAATGAAGAGCAAATTTTTTATTATGTGCATGATGTTCCTTGAACATGAATAGATAGAAATAGGAATAAGATGGATGATATATTTGCAAGCAAGACTTAACTAAAAGTTCTATGGTGTTGCTTAAGAAACTATCAAGCATGCATATCGAGAAATGACATGAAGAATAGGACCAATTGCTAATGATGATTGCATAGTTACCAATGGAAGTAAACAAGTGTAAAGAATAATTAATGTTTATCTACAATCACAGTACAATCAGCAAGCCTGCAGAAGCTGCCAATTCGGCGAACAATGAATTAGGTTGTTCTAAACAATTAATTCCATGTTGGACTTGAATCATTCATATATAAATCTTGAAAAAGCAGATACTCATTTGAATTAATTTTCCCCAACAAAAAAATAGACAGAAAAAGATAAGCATGACAAATTATCTTCTAAGACAAGTTAACTTTGTGTGTATTTCTGGGCAGGTTTGCAAGGTGTGATCTCTCCTCCCTTTTTGTAGCCATGCTATTCATATATCCAACTTATGAACTTGCTATGATCTTTGGTCCTTCTTCAATTTCTTTCTTTCTCAAAGAATTCTGCAATCAAGATGATTTATAATAACTGCAACAGCGAACGTTTACGTACCAGCTGTTGCAATCAGTCATCAAGTATATTCGAATCCCTCCTCCGGAGCTCGAGTTGATTAATGAAATGGAATCTCAAGTATCAAAGGGTATGACAAAGGATTTGTTAGATAAGGTTTCCAAAGCCCAAGTAATTATACACTTTTGCACATAAGCATGTATGTCATCTGGAGTTTCTATCAAACCTATAGTTTGGGAAAGATTATACAGAAAATTAAACCATTTTTGGATTGCTCACACAATTCCAATGATCATAAACGCACATCTATGCATAAACTCTAAAATACAAGTGCTTACTGGATGTTGATACCTCAAATTTCCACACAAGCCATTTGCCCCCTTTGGTGAATTGCGAAGATGTCCTATCAGCAATAAAACTTCCAAGGAACTCAGCGCATGAGTCGGGAGCAGCTCTCGCTACGCGGTAGTTGAACCATTCCTCAAAGTCACCACATTCTTCAGCTCCTTTTATCCCAACCTTAACCTGATAGTAGAAACAACAACATTTTACTTCATAGCCAATGTGCTCATCGATGGCAGTCTAATTGGCATTTCGACAACCACTTAGAAGAACTTGAACTCTAGCTGCAGAAAACAGGAAATTGAATCACAAACTCCTGGACCAGATTTACCACAATTTTCAGCTGTTTGGTACTCCAAATTTAACCTGATACAGAGACTAAAATATTTACTTGTAGCCAATATGCTTATGAAGGGCAATCAAGTATACAGGTAAAGAGCTGAAGAAAGCAGGGAAAGGATTGAAGATCATGTCGTTTGGGCAAAGTTTCAAACAGGTTGCTTGCCTTCTTCAAAATGACCTTCTCCTTGTACTTCTGATCCAGCTTCGCTCTCCTTCCTCTTCGCGCCACTCCATCTTCCACATCACTACCATTCTTCTCCACTATGGCACCGTAGTATACGATTCCGAAGGATCCTTCCCCCAACTTATCCCCCACAACAAAATCACTCATCTTGAGGTTCCTCTTCCCCAGCAAGCTGTCGATACCCAGCTGCAACGGGGCAAGAACATAAGCATCCACAGCTCCTACGAGAACCCCTGGCCTTACAGTCAGGTAGACCCAGCACAGCCCCACGAAAGCCAGGATCTCCGACCTCTCTATCTCTGGCAATCCTGCAACAACTCTCTGGAACTGAACAAAGCCATACTGCAGGTAGGGAAACAGTGGACTGGAGACATCCAGGTGAAGGCCGTTCACCACAAAATCGTCAGGAAGAACAACGCCTCCGATCATGGCATTGCACCTTCCTGCGACTTGCCTGGATGGCTTGGGAGGCGGGCTCAGCTGGCTCAGGGAGGTGTACTTGGAAGAAGGGAGCCAGGGGAAGGGGTGATTCTTACCGAGAGAGGTTGCGGTGGGAGGAGGGAGAGAAGCCATGGCTCACAACAGGGGGAAACGCCTGCGTTGGCGGCATAAGGATTTGACGAGGCAGCAGCAGAGGTCGGACTTCCTCCACGTGTGGACCGTAAGGTTATCCGCCACCGAAGGTTTTGTAGGGTGCGGCGAAACAAAAAGTGCCACGTAAGCTGGATCGTAAATGGTTCCACCCTATAAATACATATGGTAATTTACTCTAAATAAATTTCACTAATTGATTTTTATGAGATGATATCACTCCATTAATAATTTATCCAAAAAAAATATAAATAAATAAAAAATTTGATTATTAAATCAAATCAATTGATCCAATTCGATCTTCTATCTTTTTATTCTCCTCAGTCACAAATAATTTAAAAATGTTCTAATTTAATTTAAAAAATATTTAAAAATTGAGGTTTATGAAAAAAAAAGGTTTTAGATAATTTTTTTTAATAGAGGAACACCATATGGTAAAAATTAAATAGACGAGAATTTTCTAGTAAATTACTCCAGATATATTTTTTTTGTTTTGGTGTTTGGGCCATCCATGCAAGCCTCAAACATACCACTAACAATTAGCATATACATTGTCATGGATTCCAAACACAACTACCAACATTGAGTGTCTACCAACACCACAAACAACACTGATCTTTCACCTCACAGTGCACATCATGTCTTTATTGCAGCATCTTCCATAGCCATTTGTTTTTTACATTCATTTTTTGGTGCATTACAACACTCAGAAAGTTGATACAATTGCTTGATAGATCTCAAGGGAGCCCAACAAGTGGTTGACGAAGACATCTAACAACCATTACAAGATAAAATCTCAGGTTATTGTATCATCGACCAGTACTGATGTATCCTATTTGTTTGGTCTCTGCTAGAATGCAAACAACATTATGATGTCAATTGTGTTTTGTGGTCAGGGCAAATGGCACAACACTTGGTACGCTAATGTAGGTCTGACTCGAGTGATCTCTCGTGGTTAATGGATCCATTAACAAACTCAATTAATTTCTTCTCGAGCTCCATATTTTCTGAACCGACGAGCTTGTCCAACTTCTGCCCATCCTCGAGGAAAAAGAATGTTGGAGTTGCTTGGATATCCCATGATGCCGAAAATTCCTGTAAAGAACCAAATACATAGTCTTATACCAATTTTATGTGCTCTTTTTTCCGATCTATGACCGGCATTAGGTATAAAACTTGGAATAGTTCAACCAATATGAAGCATGCTATTGAGATATTTCTATTAAGAACTGATTAACGTTTCCCATTTATCAATTGTATGTAGCAAATAGATAAGAAGCATTTTTCATTAAATAAACTGATGATAATGTTGGAATTCTAAATTTTAATCATCAAAGACAAAAATATGCACAAAGAGACTTCATGCAAAAAAATCAGCTAGACATGAAGCAATAAGACCACATCAGTGAACACATCAAACTGATTTAAATGGCACAGTAGGCTATCATTGAATACTTACAAAAAACATCACCATTTTCACCAATTGAAAAAAAATTGAAGATATTTAAAATGAAGGAAAGTACTCACTGAGAGTTGATCGACATCAATTGCCAAGAAAATAAATGAAGGGTATTTTGCAGATAGTTCGGCAAAAAAAGGTGCAATCACTTGACATGGATCACACCAAGCAGAGCTGAAATTCGCTATGACCTGCCAACAGTAAATAAAACTACATGGCATGAGATGATCAGGAATTAAAGAAAACCAGCAAAGTAACAGTAGTTGGATTAAAAAGATAACATTTGCATCTCTCTTTATCAACATGAGAGACTGATGCAAGAGGATCTATCTTTTAATTGTAAACTGTGGTTTTATTAGGCCATAACATCCAAGTGCTTGCTAGCATCCGTTGTCCTTTGTTTGTCTGATGATGTCTAATAGAATAGTTTTAGGAATTCAATCGAGGGATACAGCAATGATGTTCTCACATATAAATAACACTTTAAAAAACACAACAAAAACAACAAGGCAATCCTTGTTACAAGCCCCAGGATTTATCTTGGAACAAAAACAATGATGACACAATAACATTGGTCAAGATATACTATATATGCACCAGGGTGTTTATGAGTAATTAAATTACTTACCATCTTGCCATCCTTCTTTGCTTCTGATATCTTTTCATCCCATTGCTCTTTATTAAATATCTTATCAACATTTGCTCCATAGAATATCCCATCATCAATTACAGCTGCTTTCTTAAACACAGAAATTATGTTATAAGTGGCTTCAACAAGGCTATCAGGAAACGACAACCATATTGCTTCAAGTACCGAGAATAATAATTCCATATTGACTAAAGTCAATCATACTCTCTAGTTTCTAACATATAGTAAAAGTTTGATTGCGTTTAAAACAGCGTCAATGGACCAAACTATTATATCATGCACGCACACACACAGATAGCTAGAAAAAACCAGAAATTCTAGTTTCAATATCATCTTCGAAACCACAAGTATTGTCATTTCTAGTTTTAGATCTACTTATGTGTGGCACTTGCAAGCTTTGTTTAGTGTTTTTATTCCATCATCAACATGACAAATTTAAGTAAAACACTTAAGTTGTGCATAAAATAGCTAGAAAGCTAAAATTGAACTCTGTTTTTTTATTAAACTCTAAAATAAAAAAATAAACACATAGGAAAACAAAAGAGCCATGCAAGTTGACATAGTAAATCAAACAAAAACCATAAATTCCTTAACATATTGAACTCCTTTTTTATTAAACTCTAAAATAAAGTTGACATATTGTTGTAGTAAGAAACACTAACCTTTTCCATGCAATTACCCATTCTATTCAATAGTATAAGACAATGGGTTCACTTATTTTTGCTGTAAAAAAAAAAGAGCACATTCATTAGAAAATGAAAAAAACAACTTAATGCATGAAAGTGGTACAATGTTCTAGTGATCCATCTAGGCCATAAGAAATTGGCCTAATTAATAAAAAAAGAAGCCATACAGGTAATCAGCAACAAAAGAAATCACACCAAGTAATTTTCAAATATAATTGAGTAGGATAATTTAGCTATCATAGTCCACGTGTGAGGACAAAATTAAGCTGTGGATGAGTTCTGAATGTTATATTACCTCGTTATTTGCAGACCCAAAAGAGAATACTAGTAACACTCTCTGCTTACTGTAAATATTTCTAATGTACCATGCCTTCATTCTGAATGGGTCATTCTTCCGTGGGTCAATTCCTACTCTCTTTTTCTTGCATGTCTTCTTGGCTACCGAACGATGGTCTAGTTCTTCTATAATAAAGATCCAATCAGACATTTGCAGGTCCAATGAAAGAAAAATCATATATTTTTTTCAAATACTGTAGAGATAGAATGACCATGAAAACATATGCATTATAGAATCCTTCACCTGTCGTGCTACAGTTCTTGCAGGTATAACATGTATTTAGCATCCACTTATGACTAATATTATCCCATGTACCTATGATAGCATACATGACGCGACACAATTAATTCTTAATATACTTATGCGGGCCAGTCATTTTTCGTATCATTTATCATGCTAACCATCACTCAGATAGCAAACAACAACATGGAAGATAAAACCCCTTTCTATTAAAATAATATAATCCCTAGAACAGTAGCAGATTACTTGGAGATAGACCTTCAATGAACAGGAGAAAATGCTCCTTTGTCAAACCTTACAATTGATGCCAATTATGATTAAGATGAGCTATTACATTTTCAATATTAAGAAGAGGAGTTTACCAAAAACCGAGAATATGCACCATTCTCTGATTTCTAGCAAACAAATCGAGTACAGACTAAATTTATTCAAGAGAAGGACATCCCACAAAGACCAATCATGTAATAGTTCAATTACTCATCACAACATTCCAGGTCCTATAATAAGAAACTATAAGAATCATTGATTGCTGTTGGATATAATCCAAAAAGTTTGAAATTTGAAAAGTAGATCTAATGTTCTCGAACGATTAGGCCAGGAAGAAGAGCTTTGATTAAGATATAGTCATGCAATAGAGCTTTCAAAAAATACATGAGAGCCCTAATCGGAAGAAAACATGCCAGATCCAGACCAATACAAACATATAACCTTTCGACCGAGCCTCGTCTTGTCAGCCAAATGATGAGAACACGGGGACTAGCCGGAAGAGGGAAACAGGGGTTTTGGGTGAGACATGAAGGCCGGCAATGGCGATTCCGAGGGTATCGGCAATCACAAAGAACTTATAGGCATGGCCGCGGCATATATATATATGGGGATTACGAGGAAACGAGCTCATGAAATGACATAATTGCCCCTTCCTCTAACCATTAATCTATTAGAAGGGGGTTATTTTGGTCTTTATATTGATTTGGGATTTGATTTAGGACCAAATAATGGATCTTAACTATGCTTTCGTCAATCTTATCGGATCGAGCTACGCACTAGATGCATACCCGATAACATGAACAAATGAGATGCGAATCAGAAACCGCCCCTCTCTAGATTTATACCCGATAACGAGAACAAAGGCGATGCGGATCAGAATCCGCCCCTTCCTACGTATATTTATACCCGATAACGTGTAGAAATCCAATACCATCGCTCCTCCTCCCCTTCTCGCCTCCAAATCCGGACCCCTTCCCCTTGCCGCCTTCCCCGGCCGAGTACGCCATGTCTAACCCTACGGCTGCCTCTGGATCCCGGCTTCGCGCTGGCGCATGCTCGTCCCCTCAGAGACCACTTGCCTCGATTTTTCATCCTTCATTAGGTACATGTTCCCAGTCTTCTGGAGTGGTTGTGTTGATCTTGCTTATTTAGATCCTTTTGCGATGTAGTTTTTGTTGCAGTTCTGTTCGATGTATCATGAGAGTATACACCTTTGTGTGTGGATGCGGCAATTTTTTGAGGTCTTTGGCTGTTCTGAAGGTCTAATGAATAACCTAATTCGAATATTCACCATTACATCTGCTATTTGAGGTACTATTTTGCTCCCTACACTGAAGGAAAAGGATGAAGAAGGATGTTATTTAGTGAAGATGTAACTAATAGATTAAGGTGTCTTCAAGATCATTCTGATCTTACTTACTGGCTTAGCTTTATGCAAGAATAAATCTCACCACAAGCTAGCTGGAATAATTTTATAACACTTTATGTCGGCAAATTCATGACATTCTTCCCCTACATATGCCTGTTCAAATTTGCTTTAACATGGAGTGGATATTTGGTCGGACACCATTGTGCTCGAACTCTGCATCATGCCTTAGTGTGCATGCTAATCTTTACTTGCCTTCATTTAAGCACTTCAATATGCAATCAACTGCTTTACCTCCAGCCTATAAGACACCTGCATTTTCCTCTTCCCATTTGCACAGACTCTCTGTAAACATGTTAATAGACAACTATTCAAATTCAAAAATGTTCTACCAAAAATGATAGTTGGTTTTATTGGTTGCAATTATTTGGGAAACTTATTAGCTCAAATTTAAGTATACTGATTAACAGAGAAATACAATCATGTATATATAATTGTGCAATACAAAGTTAAGTATTACATTTTTTTAGCTTTGTCTTTATCTTCATATGTTGATGATGTCCATAATCTTGAGAGAGTAGTCTTAGGGTTCTTATTGTACAATCATGTATGTATACTTGTGCAATACAAAGTTAAGTATTACATTTTTTTTTAACATGTCTTTATCATCATATGTTAACTTCATATTTTTCCATCTGTATTCGTGTTCTCATCGTAGAACTTTTGTTTAATCTCGTTCTCAATCATTTGATCAAGTTCGAGTGTGGAGTCCGTGATGTATCATATGAAAGTACGTCATTTTGCCTTTGGATCTCATGAGTCATGAGTATACTTTGCTTGTTTTCTTATACACCCTTGGGTTTCTAGGGTGAAATGAAAATGTATGATTTGTGAAAGTTGCCGCCAGGGAGTTCCTTCTCATATACTGGTACCATACCTGTCTCTAGGCAGACTTATACATATGGTGCACAATCCCATGTCAGTGTGCGATATGGGTGACTATGGAAAAATGTAAAAATCTTGAGAAATTAAAGCAAAATGACAAATAAAAACAGAAATACCATTCTAGCATGCTGCTTTACCCACAAAAAGAAAGAAAAATGACGAGAAAAGCTACAAGGAGAAAACAAAAAAGAAAATGACAAAAACAACATGAAACGGGCCCATGTACAGTCTGTTCAATGGGAAAACAAGTGAGAAGATGAAAAGCAGAAAATATTTTCATGGTGTGGGTTGATGATGGTTTGCATTCGTTGGGGGAATTGTGATGGACACCTGCTGGTGCCCAGATCTATTGAGATTTTGAAGGTTTTCTCTTTGTGGCTTTTGTTAAGACATGGAGAGAGCTTAGCTAGCCAGTGGAAGGGGAGAGGCTGGTCAGTGTTGTTTGTGGAAGAGATGATGCTGGGAGGTGGTTGGTTATGTCCTGTTTATAAATAAACATAAAAAGGAACTTTAGTTCTACCAGTATGTACACCAAGACCCTGATTCACTGGAAAAGGCTGCTCTGCAACTGATAAGTGTGGAGATGGAGTATGGTCTGGTGAATCACCAATATATAGCAGAATGGAAATACTTGGTTGTTGCAGCTGGTAAAACCTTTCACCATTTTTACCAGCTTCTTGACCATCATTCCCATCATAATACCCTACATACTTAATCAAAATGATTTGCCATGAATTGTGGAAGCATCCCAAATTTAGATAAGTGAAGAACTTTTTTTTTCTTTTCTTTTTACATGATTTATAGTAAGCTATCTATGGCAAATTGCCAATATGTATAAATAAGGCATTAGCCTATTCCTATGTAACACATGATAAACAGTATTTTGAGCGACTTAATGAATGTGGAATCACCCTAGTTATTTGAGATTGTCGACGGAGGAAAACAGCTAATTCATTCAGCATAAATTGGAGTTGTGAAATATGGTCCAAAAAATGGTTTGCTTATGAGGTCATAAAACGTGTTAAGATAGACTGTGACGTATGACTTGAGGAAAAGACATGAATGATTAATTCACAAGTAGGATTTGCATATGAATTCCCGAGGAATCATAGTTCTCCATTGAAGTGTATACAATTGTGCATGAGAATGGATCATGAGGAATCGATGCACATTGTGCAATGACTAGGAAAAATCTTGTTCAACTGTGGATAATCGACATCCACTTATTTGACGGTTGTTCCTTTGGTTTCTGTGTGTAACGTCTTTTTTAGGTTGGAAAATATACTTTCATGTAGCTAATCAAAATTATGCTCAGCAAAGGTTGAACTTGATATCCGTCCCTATTATTCCACATTCTCAGGAGGAAGGTTAAGTAGTTGACACCAAGGTAATATCAACATGGATCTTCGCTGAACACTCACTGAGGACCTTCTTGTGACGCATTCCATCCAAACAGATGCAAGAACTAAATACTCCTAATCAACCAAACTATTTTATGGGTATGGAAATTCTTCATATAGCAAAGCTTTTCTTCCATAAGCTAAGAAACAAATGGATGAATCTTTTGGCTTACAGAAGGGCTTCTTTTAGAAATAAAGGCCTCATCAATTTGACTAAACTTTTAATACCGCAAAGTTCCCTAATGCTGCTTCAATCCATGGTAATCGCATGTTGTAGAAGCATGTTATTAGTGGACTTGCTTTAAATGTCATCGCCATGTGATTTCGGAAACTGCAAAACCTTATTTGAAACATCTACTCCAAATTTCTTTTTCTCCCTTCTTCTTTACTAGTTTCATCTTGGGAATGTCATGTCTGTATTATTATCTCAAATGGGACCATGATTGTTACTAGTTCATTAAGCGAATGATCATTTCAAACTTTTAACTCCTAGTGAAATGAGATTAATCAATGAAGTTATCTGCTGATGTATATATCATGCAATCTACCAAACACTCTCTCTGCCTTTCACATCATCAACTAGCTCATAAATAGGCATCAAAATTCAATTACTTTCATAGAACATGAGACTTGATTTGGTCTAACTGCATCTCGTTTCATGCTTGCTGCCCAGGAACAGTAGTATTGGACGGGGGAGAAAAGTCTTCTTTGTGAAACTACAAGTACTGTAACACAGTGGTCCTCTTCCGAAGCTTTACAAGAAACATGCACATCGTTGTGGTTCAGGAACCCCTTTCAACTTTGTGAATCGCCAATGCTTTTCGAGTGGTGGGTTCTGCTGCTGCTGCTTGATTATTTCTTCAGTCCAAGTCCGTGAATGTGCTGCAAAAGAGAGGACGCTTTGGGCCTACCCACATGACTTGCTTGAGCGAGGCCTAGTGGCGCCTGCTCCGGCAAGCATGCCTGCGGCGATGCGGCTTCTTCCGAGTTCCCATCTCAGTTCACTTATGGTTGGTGTGCCATTTACTTTCCCTCCCACTCCTCCGCAGTACAACTTTTCTCCAGAAGATGTTGGCTTCCAGGTTACGTCTCCGACATGTACCCTTATTATTGTCTGCGACAAGGCTGACCCCTTCTCTTAAATCTTTTCAGCACAGAGAGATCTACCGTTTGTCGTCCCCAGATGTACCTAATGAACGATCTAGATTTGCTGCTGCTGCTGCTGCAGATTTGTCACCATCTTCGACGACAACACAGTACTATTTGATACATCCCCCTAGATTGGGCCTATATAACCCCATTCAGATCCTTGGTCTAAATCTTAGTTGATGATCTGTATAAATTTCCTGATGTAAATATATTTTCATTGAAACAATATTGCTATCTTTTTGTCAACACTTTTTTATTATATCATCTAATATTATTGTTTGGCTGGTGCATATCAGCAGGGTGGAAACACGCAAGAATAAATGGGGCCACGGGATACCTACCCAATCATGATGGGTCCGGCGAGATCGCAGCCACCGGGGTGGCATTACAAGTATCTCGCCACATGTCGCTCTTACACCTTCCCCTTTGCCCCCACATGGTCTACTTTTCTCCACGTGCCCGTTGACCCGATACGTGGCCCTCAGAAAAGTCGCGTGCCCAATTTATTTCTACCATTTCAACCTTCAATCCATTATTTTCTCACATGCCATTCTCAAAAATAAGAAAATACAAGAAAAAATCACCAGCAAACAAGCAAAACTGTGACACGTCACAAGCTTAGATTCCAAGAAAAGCTCCATCTACTCTATGCTCACTCTCTCTTTCACGCTTCACTCAAATAACTGCTCCTCCATGTTTTGTTCCCCGAACATGACAAAAACAAAAACATTAATAGTACATAAAAATAATTTAAGCTATAAGCAACTCGTGAAAGGACGACACTACCCCTGTGAACAATACTGCCCGGGACCCGTAACAGTCCATCCGCTAGGAGAAATCCTCGGCGTCGAAGTCGCCGAACTCCGCCTGCAACAATCGACGCGTCGGGCGGCAGTACTCCGTGAAGAATAGCGGGGACGCGTCAGCTCCGAACCCGAAGGGGTCGACTTCGTCGTTGCCGGTATAGTCGAACGGCGCCCACTCGTCGCCGTAATGGAGCACTGACGTCGGAGAGGAGCGCGCCCCGGTCACGCCGCCGCCTCCTCCCCTGACTTCGCACTTCGCTTCTTCTTCCTCGGTCGTCTGTGCCGCCGGTCTCGCGGCCGGGAAGTTGGTCACCGCCTTCGAGCCTTTCAGCCGCACGGCGGCCATGTCATACACCGTGGCCGCCTCCTCGGCCGTGTCGAACGTCCCGAGCCAGACCCGCTTCCGCTGGCGCGGGTCGCGGATCTCGGCGGCCCACCGGCCCCACGGCCGCCGCCGCACCCCGCGGAACTTCCTCCTCCCGCTCTCCCCTCCTCTCGCCGCCGTCTCCTTCCTCGTCACCGCCGCCCTCCGCCGCGGCACGGGAACCACCTCGATCCCGATCTCGTGCACCTGCCGCCTAACAAGCCGGCGGGCGCCACACTCTCCGTCACTCGACGACGAATCGGTAGCATCCACATCATCGAAGTGGATCCGGACGACCCTCTTCCGGCATTCTGATCCCCGGGAAGCCGCTCTCTTCGGCAGGATCGTCTTCCTCGTCTTGACGACGTGCTCAGAAAACTTCAACTCCTCCCTGCGATCCATCGCAGACCGAACAACTCCTCTCTCTCTCTCTCTCTCTATATCTCTACAAGCCGCAAATCATCCCAAAAAGGAAGAGCAAAGCCATGGATTCCGATTCGACCAAAAAGAGGGACACTCGTTTCGCCTCCTCCTTTCCACTCACACAAACCTCTTAAAACATGAAAAGACGGATGTGGAGTCGGATCAAAAGGGTAGGGTTTTAGCGAGGGGTTTGCGTCTCGATCCAACGCGGGAAAAAAAGTGACGGGGAAGGGGGGGGCGTCATTTAAGCTTTTTACCCAACATCCAACCACCGTCTTCCTCTGTGTCGTTTTGATATTACCATTTTGTCCTCGCACAGCTGGCTTCCGATCACAAGCGTCAGGCTCCCGCAACGGACGGCTCCGATTACATCGATGTGATCTCGCACCATTTTGGCACCCAAAAAATGTTGGCAAGCTATGAGCCGTCCGATGGGCAACCAACGGTGACGGCGAGCTAGCTTTGGTCAAAACACGCTTCGCTCTTTCTTTTGTTTTTCGAAAGACGCACGTGATCGCGACACCTGTCTTCTTCCGCAAAATAAGAAAAAGGAGACCGCAGCAGTTCGAGATTCGCGTTTGACTGCTTCTCTCCCATTAATCAGTTGGGAGGTCTTCTTTCTGATCAAAGATAAACCAACATATGTGCATGTGATACCATTAATGACAATTTGACTTACTGGAATAATTGATTTAAGTCTAATTACTAATCTAAAACGTTTAAACTCAAGTTAACGAGAATACACTCATCAAATACTTAAATACTAAGTTTTCGACTAACCTCAAATACTAACTCAGACTTTGACCAGGCGTTGACCAACTATAGCTGGTTCATGCAAATGCCTTGTATTGGTGAGATAAGAGGATCAACTGCATAAGGAGAGGTTCCTACTTGTAGGAGAAAAATATCAAGCACATGTTCATGGCATGAAAAGGATAAATTGAATGGCTAAAAATCGACAACATAGCATACAAGTAAATGTAAAAACAATTAGAGATTAGCTTGGAGCAAACTTTGGCATGCAAGAAATCTATCAATTTTGAACAATAAATGACTTGCAGAATAAGATCTGTTTCCATACCTAACGTATAAATGGGCTGCATTGTGCTTCCTGTGCCTGCTTGTGGCGTTTGGACACACTATCAACTTGGTTTCTCAGAGGATGGTCTGTTCTCCGAGTCAGAGTGCTGAATGTCTTCGATCATTCTGATCACCTCCTCCATTTTCGGTCGTTGATCTGGAGCTTTTGAAACACATGCCATCGCAATCTGAAGCATCTGAACCATTTCTTCCTCGATGTGCGGATACCTCATCAACTCTACATCAAAAACTTCAGCAGTCCACTCTTCTCGAACCACAGATTGGACCCATCTTGGTAGATCAGCAACATCATCGCGTCCTGGAGACTGAAGTGGAGCTTTTCCCGTGAGCATCTCAAGTAGCAAGACACCAAAGCTGTAGACATCAGATTTCTGAGTATATTTTCTAGTCTCAATGACTTCGGGTGCACGGTAGCCCACTACAATTCTGGATGGGGTTGCTGCAGAGTTCATGAGTGGTGCAAGGCCATAATCACAGACACAAGCATCAAGTTCCTGAGTCAGGAGTATGTTATTGGATTTAATATCTCCATGAATGAACTTTCCGCTGCCATCAATGTGAATGCAACCGATGCCACGTGCTGCTCCAAGAGAAACCTTTATCCTGGACTCCCAGTCCAAGGGAGTTTTTCCAGCTCCCCCCTTATTCCCTGCCATTGAAATCAGGCAAAGCTATCAGGATATATATCCCAAATAAACAAACTTCACATGTACTAAGAGTGATAGATGTAATTTATGATACTTCGAGGCTAAAACAGAGTGACTTTTCTCCAATTCATCTCATACAGAATGCTGCCTACCAAGGAGTAAGAATTCGTTCGGAATCTAGTAGAGACGGACTTCAGAACAAACTATACTAGGAGACATTTTAATGTATCTTATTAGAATTTTAATAAAGATCATAGCCAAAGAATATGGGCAAGTAGCAAAGAGTACAATTTATCTTCTTTAGCTAGAACTTTTGCCTTACATTGCCAAACTACCATAAGATGAAAACCTATTCCGTTCTTTTGTCTCTAGTAAACTTGAAGTACATTTTGGAAGTTCTGGGTTTGGATGCTGGAGACATGGACCCCCTTGATAAGGTTGTTAATTTGTTTTTGGAACATGTTGTAAGATGCTACATATGAGATCTTATGTCTTCTTGACTTGAAAACGAATTCAGTGGAAACAATCATCATCTTGACTTGAAAGACAACACACAGATCTTTTGTGCCACATCTATGTTGCCATATGCACCATTAAATACTTTAGTTTAAGACTACATTGAAAATTAATTACCAACTTTATTGGCAATGATGTTTAATTGCTGCAGATGAAACACATGTCTACTTACAAAGCCTCCAAGTTTTGCAATTCCATGTCCAGAACATCATCCATTAATGCCTAATATATTTAACTGCCTATAATTACATCAATAGTTATTCCTGATGGTAATGCCTTCAATGACTTAGTTGCATGACAACAGAAGAAATGTAGAGTTTGTGAAACATACCATGCAAGAGGGAGGATAAATTGCCAGAAGGGACATAATCATATATTAGAAGCTTCTCATCCTTGGAGTAGTAATAAGCTCTAAGTGGCAATACATTGGGGTGTGGCCTGACACTTCCTATCATTTCCATCTGCTGTTCAAACTCTCTCTTTCCGATGATTACTTCCTTCAACCTCTTCACTACAACTGTTGTACCATCTTCTAGAACAGCTTTATATGTGGTCCCATGACTTCCCTTCCCAAGAACTTCAGCAGAAGCTCTTAACAAATCTTCCAAGTCAAAATTATAAGAACATCCCTCAAAGAAAACCAATTTATTCTTCTCGGCCTCTTGAACACTACTGCTGTACTCCTCCTTAGGTTTCTCGCTTCTTCCACCAAGAGAACCCTTGCCTTTTGATTCTCCACTGCCTTGCCTACGTTTCCTCTTGGAAAAGCATACCAAAATTAAAACAATGAGTAGAAGCAGAAGAGCTGATCCACCAGCAGCAATTGCAATGATGACTCCCGTACTTATTTTTTTCCAAAAGCTTCTTTTGGGTTTTGTAGGTGCTTCTGCTGGGAAGGGTGGAGAGGAGGGAGGAACTCCAAAGCATTGGGCTAGAGGAGTCCCACAGAGGAAAGGGTTACCCACGAAAGACTCCACTGGGAACTTTTGAAGTGAAATTGGTATGGGGCCACTGAGGTTGTTATAACTCAGATTCAGACGTCTAAGCTTGGGCAGTTGAAGGTTAGGGATGGGTCCAGAAAGAGAATTGTTCTGGAGAAACAATGCGGTAAGAAGAGTAAGGTTTTGGACTGTCAATGGAATTTCACCGACGAACAAATTATAGGAGAGATCAAGAAATGTTAGGTTGGAAGAGAGCAAATCAGGTACAATTCCAGATAAATTATTATGTTGAAGGTACAAAGAATGCAAAGAAGGAATTGATGGGACATCTGGAGCAAGATTTAGAATAAGGCGGTTGGACCGAAGACTTAAGACTTCAAGGGCATCAAGTTTCCCAAGTGTATCAGAAGGAATCGAGCCAAAAAGGCCAACCGCTGGCAGCCGGAGAGTATGGACACGGGTCTTATCAGGTGTGCAAGTGACTCCAACCCAAGATGAACATATGGGGTTCTGGGAACTCCAGTTCAATTTCCGGCCATGAGGGACTGAGGCAGCAAAGGCCAGGAGTGCTTCCTCATCAGAACTTAAGTCAGCAGTGGTAAGTGGTGGAAGGTATAACATGAGGTAAATAAAAGGAAGTGCTATGAAAAGCATAGAGTGACCCATTGGTAATAGTAAAAGAATGCAATGAACAATTTCCAGATTGTGCTTTAAGAGGCTATAATGTCCATCTGCACAGGAAAAAGAAGAAACAAAAGAAAGGGTAAGTACATGCCAATGACCTTAGCAACATGCAAGAAGAAGATGCTTGTAAGTGCTTTCTTCATCCAATAATTGTGAAAGGGAAAGTTGGGAGAAGATAGTGATAACATTCATCAATGATAAAAAGCAACAGACCCTCCTTTAACAGGAATAAGAATCTTCATAGTGTTTACAAAATTCAAATTTCTCATCTTGCCACAAATCAAATTACATCTACAAATTGGAAAGCAATCCAATGCTTCTGCAAGACTTTAATGATGACATCAACCACTTATTTCCTAGTAGCTGCTTCGAAGTGGACCACTTCGAGTGGCAGCCCTCTCTTAAAGGAGGCATGGTTTCTCATAATCTCATTTTCTATTACTTTCCTATACCTACAAAAAAATTACATTGCTTGCGTTAACTGCTAAGCTGCTGCAATCTTTCCAAAGATTAACAACACGAGACGTGCACAAGAACCAAGATTTTTGAAGAGGATGAAAGAAACACCATTTTTTGTTTAAGAGAAAGAGCACTTGAGAGACTGAAGAAGCTCACCTACCTAATAGCTAATGCAACCCACCACCACATTCTAATACACTGAAGTGGAACAGTACAAAAGGATTGCCTATCAAAAGAGACGACCTCTATACTTTTGAGACTCTAAGCAAAGAAAAAGGCAGAATCGAATTCATCTTTTCTCTTTATCTCCCTTTACCAACCAAGGACAAAAGGTTGAAGCTTTGGAGCAGGAAGACACTGAGGCAAGTATTCGGTGGCTGAACATTAGACAGCCTGGTGCAAGTTAGACCCACCCACTAAAGGACAGCACATAGATAAACTACTCCTGAAAGGCATCCCGGAAGTATATGCTCGATTAAACCACTCATTCCAACTAAAAGAAACGCCAAAGATGTTGTTGCAGATCTCACCTGATTCAAAGAGGACAACCTTGGCTCCTCATATCCATCGATATTGGTCCAAGGATCCATCAATGCAGCAGCGGAAAGCTAAACTTCAAGAAATCCCTAAACAAGGGAAAGAAGGTTAAGTTAAAAAGAAGAGATTGTCGGCTAAAATCATGAATGTCAAACACTGAATAGGAAAATTACCTGCCATAGTCTGAAAACTCGAAACTCCAAAGGCAAGGCGACCGGCGATTACAGATCAGGAAAGACCGTAGAGATTCGAACTTTCTCTGCACTAGAAATTGACAGCAGCTTCCGAGAGATGCAAGAAACCGAGATCCTACGGGGAACAAAAAGGCATTCTCCGACGAATTCGTCTCCAGGTGTCCAAAACTGCAGTTTCGGCTTACGAAACCAGAGTAATCGACGCGGAACTCGCGGCGACGAAGTAGAAGAGCGATTTCGAGGTCTTCAAGTCGGATACCTTGAGGCTCCACCCGAGCCCGCAGAGGAAACGAAGCTCCCCACCTCGAATGCCGTCGTCCCGAGATGTCGGAATCGGACCGCCGAACCGTCAACGCCCCGTCGCAGCTCGCGTCGATGCTGATTCCAGATCACTCGGCACTCCAAGAGCAGAGAGAGAGAGAGAGAGAGAGAGCGAGAGGGGGAAGTGGCGGAGAATATAGGAAATGCGTTCGGGAGATATTTCTGAGAAAACCCTTTAACTTTAACTATATTTATCTACCGTTGGATTCTTGCATATACGTACCTAACATTGACATTTTTGTTTCTCAAAGTCCCTATCATTAGCAATATAACGGCGACGAATATATGCGTAAAAGCTCACATCAAAGATAATATCTTTAAATGTACTCCCTCAAAAAAAGCGTGGAAGGTCCAAAGGACCTGCAGGTGTAAAAGTGACGCAGATGTCGAGATTTACGCGAAAGGACACCATGCGCAGCAGCAGCACATTCTCTTACCGGTCGACACTACCCTTCCCGCCACCCCCCTTCCGATTGGATCGTGATGCGGCGCCCGCGCCTTGCTCGATCAAGAGTTTGCACTTTAGCCAAATTAAGAGAGAGAGAGAGAGAGAGAGAGAGTCAAAATTTTCATCACTCTGGCGCCACACTTAGTGATGAAAATTTTGGACACAAAATTGCTGACCTGTTTCGCAGATGCTGGCACAGCAGAAAATGTTTTAACCACTTGTTCTTGCATGTTCTCTCGTCTGAATATTCGAATTGGTGAGGTCTTGATCACGTCAAACCAGCTTGTATCAAGTGGAGCCCTCCGCAAAAGATTCCTTCCTTGTACTACCAAGCAACGCGTTTGCTTTCACGCCTGAGAGGAGGCAAGGCAAGCTTCCCTCACCAACATCAAATCACATGATGAGGGTAACGTAGATTTTATTAGCACAACATTCAACACCAAATATATATCATTCATGCACCGGACCAGACACGCAAGCGTCCTTCACCAACAGCACATCACATGATATAGAAAGAAATTGTAGATTCTATTAGCACAAGATTCAACTCCAAAGATACCCTTCATGCACCAGGATCGCATGCAATGGAGAACACCAAGGCAATTCAAGAATTGGTTCATCATGCTGATTAAAAAGCCTTCAATTTAATTTTCATGTTCCCAGTGCAATCAGCACCAACAAATTTGTGTGTAAGGTTCCATCTAGGTTACAAGCAATCTTAACATGCAAGAATGATGTTCTGAAACCAACTTAAAATGATACATATAAAAACATTGTTATCCAGACACAGATTAAGAGATCAGAAACAAGGCATCCTACTGTATCCCTTATTTGTAGAAGTCAAAATCCGTGTCTGGCTTTTTCACGTTGGCCCGATAACCTTTCTCAAAGTCCTTGGGAAGAATCACATACCGATTCTTTCTAACGGCATGCATCCCTGCTTCCTGGCAAATGGCAGCAATCTGCATACAACCCAGGCAATGATTTGGTCATATTCCAGCAACAAAATGGTTTAAGAGCAGCAGCTACTTCATTGGATATGTCATAGCACCACGCACATATCATGAAAAAGCAATCAACCTCATTACACCTGAGTCACAGCAGAAGATATGTACAAACACAGGCATTCAAGAACAATAATCTTCCTTTATCCACAAAATAGTCGCTCTATATCCTCCAGCTTACTAAACTCACAGGATTACTTTTTCACTTACATTGCAATCTCAAAACCAAGTCCTTGTTTAGCCTCCAAGAACTATGATATGAAGATAAAGAGTCAGCATCTGACATCTATATCTGGTGTAATGATTATATCCCCCAACAATAATTGAGATAAAGAACATAATAACTAGGCTGTATGAAAGCATTAGTTGATGCATGCCACTGCCAACTTTTACAGGCTTCCCAATAGCATCATCATGAGGATGTGTATAAGTCAGTTGTCAAAGAGATATCAAATACAAACATGTGTTACATATGTCTGTCGGGGGATTGCGTCTGTTACTGTCGAGTACCATTAACTGTGTGAATGTGCTTTTTTTTCACTTTGCATGCTGAGAAAAACCAGCATAAAATACTTCTATATCATTGGCGATCAACAAAAGCTTGATGATGATAAAAGTTAAAATTGAAAGGAAAAACATAGAAACACGATCCACATAATAATGAAACCTCCATTCCACGCAGAGATGCTAGGACTTAGAAAACTGACCTCAGCTGCACTGATTTTATCTGGCCGGGAAACATAATCTTCCAAGTCAACCTCATCACTGAGATTCATTTTTGCAGTGCAGACCTGAAAAATAAAGACCAAAATGCACAAAAGACATTTAGGTTTGGACAAAATTATTAGAACCAAATTCATATGTCTAGTCATGAACCTGAATGAAAAAAAAAAAAAAAAAAAAAAACTAGAAGATTATGACATCAATACTGCTCATTATTTTGAGCAAGTTAAAACATATACAAATCAAGCTTCCATTTCTCTTTGCTATAATATGATATTACATTATAACTTCTTGCCAAACCATATTTTCAAGCATGCCTTTCTTAACTAAGAACCATGGCAGAGAAAGGTATAGAATGGCAAACAAAATAACAATATTAGTGCTAGCGCCAATGTATTTAAATTCATAACAAACTCTCTAAAAATCAATTATAGCAATGATCACTCTGGTTACTTCATGATCTAACTTAGGATTCATAAGGTGTGTACAAAAATACTCATGCTCATCCAGTAAACATCAATCCAATCTAGACGAAAGTTGGACTTATATGCCATGAATAGCACACAAAACCACCGGCGAAAGCATATCAATGACGTATGAAATGTTTCAGAGCATATTAATGTCATATGAAATATTTCGGAATATATCAACGACATATGAAATATTTTGAAGCATATCAAGTGAACAAATAACAAATATAAGCTTGTATGTCATATTTGATGTTGTATGCATTTCATTCTTATCCAAAACGCATATAAAAACACATAAGCAATGCTTTAAATATCATATCAAAAACATAGTGGGTGAAGTAGGATCATAACATAATATGATCCATCCATTTTTGAATGACCACCCAACACAAACTATTTATGAATCAGTATTATTTCAATATTGTTGATATACCATGTAAGTTTATGGGCTGGACCATTGATTACCAGTCTATGTGGTTCCATATTTGAATCCTTGGTAAAAAATCCACCGTAGATATGAAATTGCACATGAAGAAAACATAATAGACATCTGAACTCTTCAAAAATTATTGTGAAGCTTGTAGGTCATACTTCTAACTTTATTGTGGAAAAAGAAAATTTTCAAATGTTTGTTAGTCCATGTGCTAGGTCTGCTTGTTATTCAGCATCTAGGTCCTCTTGATGCTTTTATAAGGAAAAAACAAAGAGGAGAGAAATACACAACCTGATTATCCATAGGATAGATCATATGATATTTTACAATTATAATATGACAATTATCTGCACAACTTACTTGGAATACTAGCCTCTTTTGTCGTCTGTCAGGCAAAGGAAATTCAATCTTGCGATCGAGCCTACCCGGACGGAGAAGTGCAGGGTCTAGAGTATCAGCTCGGTTAGTTGCCATTATAACCTTTACATTCACCGTTTGGTCAAATCCATCCATCTGTAAGAGCAATAAGAACAATAACATTATTGCATGAACATGTACAACTAGATGCGAGCTTGCACGCTAGAGCAAAAGTCATGCCAGCTGAAGCATACATACTCATTTTCACGATGTTGGTTGTTTTTTGGAAGAATAAACAAAACATGGTTACTGCTAGATTTTTCCTCTGAAGTTCACACCTTCAATTGGAGGAACCAACACGCAAAGTACATTCCAGACTAAGACTGACGAGTCAAAGTACCAAATATGCCAGAGCCAGTAGATAATCTTTGCAGACTGAAGGGAACACATGACATATAATTCAGCCATCATATTTTAGGAACTATGTGAAACCTAGCAGAGGGAATTCAATTTTATGAGAGCCTTCTGTGTTTGTGAAAAATATATACTTCGGAAATCAGAAATAAAAGAACATTCACAAGCTTTAGGAGAAGAGAATGATACATATTTAAGGAATTGAAAAGGACCGGGTAAGTGAAACAAGGAAAAAAGGCAAGTTTTCACATGACAGAAACCATGATTCTAAAAACAGCAACACAGTGAGCATACCAACAGTACTATACCAGTCCAACTGTTTCAGTGTGCAATCTACCATACCATGGTGAAGTATACTGATAATTCAGCTAATACTATATTGTTTATTAGAAATGCACTGGAGTATACCATGATTCTAAAAATAGCAACACACTGGGCATACCAACAGTATTATACCAGTCCAACTCTGTGTGCAATATACCATACTGTAGTAAAGCATACTGATACTTCAGATTATACTATATAGTTTATTAGAAATGCACTGGAGCATATCATGATTCTAAAAGTAGCAACATGCTGAGCATACCAACAGTATTATATCAGCCCAACTGTTTTGGTGTGCAATATACCATATTGTAGTAAGTATACTGATGCTTCAGCTAATAATATATAGTTATTTAGAAATGCACTGGAGAATCCTGAAACATACAAGTTCCCTTGAAACATGCCTCAGGCTTAATTCCTTCACAGAGACAATTTAGATTTCTACAGTATTAGTGGTTAACTTGAATAGCAATTGAATTTAATGAAATAGCTGACATTTCTCCAAATTAAGAGTTGTGTTTTTCTTTCAACAGCTGCAAACTAAATCAGTCTCCAAGTACATGAAGATAAAAAGAGAAACTTGTCATCTATCAAATATTCATTTAAATTTCATGGTTTACTTGTTTTTTTACCTGATTCAACAGTTCCATGAGGATACGCTGAACTTCCCTGTCTGCTCCAGTTTGTGCATCAAAACGTGCAGTAGCAATAGCATCAACCTCATCAATAAATATGATTGCAGGGGCATTTTCTTTAGCAAGACGAAACACATCCCGCACCATCCTCGGACCCTGACCCACAAAATAAGCTAAAATTTAAAAAGCAATCATAGAAACATGATTCATAAAAGATCATGATCTTCATCATATCAAGCATGGTCAGTCTTCTTTGAACAATCAAGTAGACATCTGAAGTACAAACCAATGACCATAGATCACTTACATCATAAGTTAATTATAGAATTTTCTTCGGGAAACTCGGTGACAGAAACAACTTCTGCCTTTTAACAATGAAATTGCAAAGAATCAAATGAAGGAATTACATGAAATATGCACTAATTTTATAAGCATCAACGGAAAAGAAACATAAGACTAAAAAAAGTAAAATCATTTTCTACATGGTATCATATGAAAATTATAATAACATGTAAAACAACATGTAATGGAGCAAGGAATGACATCCAATTAGATTCTTCTAACAACACAGTACCTCACCCAAATACTTCTGAACAAATTCAGACCCAACAACTCTTATAAAGGCAGCAGTTGTATGATGAGCCACAGCCTTGGCAAGCATGGTTTTACCCGTACCAGGTGGACCATAGAGAAGCACACCTCTTGGTGGATCTATACCAATTTGTTTGTACAGATCATGATGAGTCAAAGGTAACTCAACAGCTTCACGAATCTCCTGCTTTTGAATATCACAACCCCCAATATCCTGGGCAAGCAAAAGAAAAGATAAGGCAGCAAATCAAACTTTGCTTTATAGTCAACCTGCACTAATAAAAGTAAAGATGACATAAGCATAACACAGTAGTTCCTTCTTTTAGTAGCAAATTAGATGTCCTTGATTATGAAACATAGAATTTACTATAGATACTTCTCTTTTTTGCAAAAAATTTAAAAGTGATTAAGAATGAAATCGGAAAAAGAAAACTCAAGTACGTCAAAGTAGAATGTCTCATAAAGTTTAGCAAGAGAAGAATAAAAGACAATATATTACATCATTCTACCACCGTAATATCATGGACAAGATTTTAAACAGGATGTTTGATGTAATGTTTATCTATGTCCGTGTCTTTTGATTTGTTCATGCTTTGCATAGCATGTAGAGGGACGGTCGAAGGCTTAACAGCTCCATTTTAGTTGGGTTTGATGGTCGTTTTAGGCTTGTAAATAAAGGTTGTGTCATGTGGACACTTGTGAGAGATATTCGATCTGTAGTGGACTATTTTGATCCTTTGTTTTGCAACTGTTTCAAAGCTTGTAAAGTCTGTTTGTAATTTACATTGGCTATGGAGTGTTTTTCGAAATGTTTGCTTGTGGATCTCGAGTGAGGTGTTTTCTCTAACCCCTTTTCTCTTTTGTAGGTCCTAAGGGACCATGGGAGGCTTCGGGGAGGCTGACATTTGCGGACGGACACGCAAGGGTGCCGCACGATATAGGCAAAACCAGCTAAGTCCGTGACAGATAGTATCAGAGCGGGACAAGCGCTCATAGAAACACTTGGCATGCAAACGTGGGGGCCCTAGCAAGGCTACGTTGAGGACAGTCAACACACGCGACCGTTTGGGGGAAAAACGAGCATAGAGATGTAGGAAAAAGGAGTCACTCAGAGGAGCGGACATTTGAGATTGGCATTCAGAGGAATGGTCAACCCTTCACGCAAGAGACACCACGAAAACAAGCAAGCTTGGAAGAATGCGTAGCGCACAAAGGTTGGGATGGTTGAATTCGAGCTACGGCTCGACGTTGACAACCATACTTGATGATGCTCAAGGCAAGCGAGGCGCTTAGTAAAGGATGAGACCATGCAAGGTGAAATGAGTTGCTCAGCGACCGAAAGAGTTGTGCAAATCTCACAGAGGCAAGGGGAATTGCTAACTCGAAGAATTTGGTACTCATGCAAGGGCTTATATACGAACAATGAAATGTTCGTGGTCATCCCAAGGCGACCGAAACTCGGCGCCATGGAACATTGGAACTTTCTCTTCGGCATAAGAAGGATAAGTCCGTAGGAGGTTGAAGTGTGCAGCGAGTTCAGCATGTTGCTAGGCCTTGAATGGTGCAGCGGGGGCTGTATTGACGTGGAGTCGTAATCTAGTAAGTGCGTTTGCAGGAGACAGAACAATGCACGGTTTGTTCAGCAAGTCGGAGTAGTCCAAGGGGATGGTGGTCTCCGAAACTTTCAAAGAGAAGGAAGCGAAGAGAGATGTTGCTCCAATGGGACAGATATCCAGGAGGGATAAGTTCCGGTTTTCCAAAGGGAGAATCATGTGCAACAGACAGCACATGTTGAGGAGTACCTCAAAAACAACAATTCCACGATGCTCAATGGACCAAGAGAGCGGCGAGGAGTCGTCGCATGATCTCGCTTGAGAGAATGCATTGTGAGATCAAGTGGGGGAGCGACCTAAGGCAACATAAATGAAGGCACACTTGGAGTCGATATAGAGATCGACCTCAATAGTGGGCTGACCCGTGGAATGGTGGGCACAAGGGCCACCATCAACTCAATGCAAAATAAGAGCGGAGTAACTTGGGTGTAACTAGGTGAAGTACCCAAGCCGAATGAAGGGAGGCAGCATAGAAGATGGAACATGGAGCGGAGGCATAGAGCTTTCCTTGGACAAAGGTCAATGACATGAACTCTTACAGAGGCAAGAGCAGGACCATGTCGTTCCATGGGTCCTTCATTCTAATGGAGCGGACTCATCTTACATTGTGCCAAAGACGAAGAGAGCTTCTAGGCACATGCACCTTATCTCGGAGAAGCATTTGATGGAGGAACTAAGGAGACTCAACTTGCGGAGACAAAGTTGGGTTTAGAATGCCTTAGCACAAGGCAAGAGGACGTGGAGGCGGGTACTCTTAAAGAATATGTCACAGTGCCGCCATTCAAGTTGCCATGAATGAAGCGGTGTGCAGCGGAGATTGTGCTGGTGGGGACAAAGTCCTAGGATCCAAACAATGGTACATTAATTTCAACGAAGTCGGTGGACTTCGGGAGCTACTAGGTGACGGACTGTCCTAGAGTTGCGCTTCGTCTGAGTGTGACCCGAGAGCGAGTGAACGAAGGTCAATTGCCAAAGGAACGAACAAAATCGAAGGTGGAAGAGGTCTTATGATGTGTTGGCAGAGGCTACGCATGGAGGGATCACAATCCGAGTTTATTCCACAATGATCAGAATGCAATGGAGATGTCACCAAGAGGCGACATGGTGCAGCGGATCGTGGTGGAACAGTGCGATACACACGAATCTAGTCTCGTGAGGGACTATATCATATAGAGGTATGATCGGGAGTGACTGGGAGCTCTACTTCGATGAACAACACGATGGCAAGAAAGATTATGGATTCAAGGAGTGAAAGTCATGGTACCGCAGAGGCAGGTCTTCCGTGCATGCATCAAATTTTGCATCGGATGAAAGTCTTGGTCTTCAGCATATGGGGGCTGTGTACCACCGAGGAAAAAGTTCGAATGCAAGTACCAGTAAGTCCCATGAGAGGGATTTGATCATGTAGAGGTATGATCAGAGCAACCAGAGAGTTGGACTGCTCTAGAGCTCATATTCACTTAAGGGAGCTCGGCAAGTCAAAGGACAAGGCCGAGTAGGGGAACGTTGCTACCAAGGAAGCTAAGGAGAATAGAATCGATGCAAACCCTACAACATGATAGCAGAGGCCATGCATGAGAGTTATAGTTTGTCTTTCTATCGACCAAGGAGAACTGCTTGGAGAACACAGAGGTGTTGAAGTAGAGGGTCGAAATGGGCGAGGAAGCGATGACGAGTCCAGATGGACTTAGCTACCCAAAATAAAGCATCGGTTAGAATGGAAGTGGACTCGAAGGAGTGCCACAGAGGCAGATCTACCGATCGTGAAGAAAAGGGATGCAGATGCGAGGTGACGGACAGTAGGGCCATGGGCATGGCAGCACCATGGTACCACAAAGGCGGGACTTCTGTGAAGTCATCGATCCCTTGCTCTCATAGAGGGAGAGCGCTTGGTCGTGAAAGAGGCCGAGGAGGTGGAGCATGCAGAGACAAACTCCAAGTATCGAGACAAGGCTGAAGGGCAGAGGCCAAGGAACTTTGTAAGACCGGTGTCAACGAGCTTCTCATCAAGATAATCGAAAGTGAAAGACTTCGGGTCGTGCAAGAGTGCACGACCAAGGAACGAAGCAGGCAGTATGCGGTGTTGTACCTTTGCTACTCAGTGGAGTAGGCGACAGAGTTGATAGAAAAAACGGTACAATCCTAGAGGCGACCAAAACTACAAGAGACTTGCTCTAAGTTGGGGTGAAAACTTCCTGCATTCCAGAAGTTCGATGGCATTGAGAAGGTGAATCACAGTAGCTAACTCAACGCAAGGAGTGCAAACACTTCGAGTACTTCAGAAGTGTGAGCAAAGAGCAGGCGAAGGCTAGTAACCAGCTCGATGCATGGAGTACAACCCTCGAGGAGGCAAGCGAAGTCACGTAACCTTTGCCTTCTCAACTTTTAAGAGAATGGGCAAAACCGAGTACCCCAATTCTCTTATCTATCCAGCAAAGGAGCTCTGCACAGATTCAAAGACCCTTCGAAGATAATGGAAGACAATAGTTGTTAAATCCTCGCCAATGGTGATCAATGCTACTAAGAGTAGATACATTTCCCAACAGAATATCAATCGAAAGCGAAAGTGATGCGAATCTACTTGGAAGTGGCAACTGAGTGAAAGAAGAGTCGATAGACAAATTTTGTGGAGGAAGGACCCAAAACTTCAAAAGTTTACGAGGCGAAGCTCGTTAAAGCTCCAACAAGCATCCACCCAATTCAAGCAGCATAAGACATTTAAGAGACTGATGCATAGTAAAGATGGTCTTTTCCTTCATCTGAAGGATCTGCAAGAACCAACAGGGATCAACACAACTCAGCCAACCCCACACTAGAGTCAAGAGTCATTGACGAGTTGAAACAGCGTGACGGATCAAAAGTTCGACTACTCAACAACAATAGCGGAGACCAGCTGGGAGCCAAGAGACGCATTACAGCTGGAGCAGAAGATTGAAGACTCAGCAAAAGCGAGGAGTTACAATGTCGACAAAGGCTTCGACGAGGATGTCGAAGGAATAAGTGGGGGAGAATGTTACGGACAAAATTCTAAACAGGATGTTTGATGTGATGCTTATGTATGTCCATGTCTTTTGGTTTGTTCATGCATTGTACAACATGTAAAGGGACGATCGAAGACTTAACAGTCTCATTTTAATTGGGTTTGGTGGTCGTTTTAGGCTTGTAAATAAAGATTGTATCATGTGGACACTTGTGAAAGATATTCAGTCTGTAGTGGACCATTTTGACCTTTTGTTGTGCAATTGTTTCAGAGCTTGTAAAATATGTTTGTAATTTACTTCGCTATGAAGTGTTTTCTGAAATGTTTGTTTGTGGATCTCGAGTGAGGCATTTTCTCTAACCCGTTTTCTCTTTTGTAGGTCCTAAGGGACCATGGGAGGTTTCGAGGTGGTTGACCTTTATGGACGGACGCGCAAGGGTGCCGCACGACTTCGGCAAAACCAACTAAGTCCGCGACAGTAAGTCGAAATACTTGTTCCCACTCTAAAATGTGGCCGCTTTTAAGCAAAATTCCCAAGTCAAGAAATTATCCATTGGCTGTCACACATATGACACGAACTAAGCTTCGCCATATAATGATGCACGTCTTTTTCATAAATTGTTTAATTTTTTTGAAATCAATCTAAAGAAGATTGATGAAACAGAAGTTCTTAAAGACTAAGAGATGACATGGTTGCTGCAGAAAAGAAACACGGTAAAATGCTTCTGCAATCTTCAAGCATCTCAATAATGTATTTTAAGCACCTCGATTTAAAGGACATCTAATAAAAGGGAAAGAAACATCTCTTTTCAAATCCTATACTCCATTTTGAATTACCGTCGAAGGAAAAATAACAAAAGATTCTTGCATTCTGGTGAATTCAACATTCACCAAATTCAAGTTCTACTGGAAAACCAAATACAAGAGAAACTCCGACTTTACTTAATGAAATATCAATGTCAAGAAACCCCATAAATGAAGAAACTCGAAAGTGCTAAAGATCTTTAAGGCCACAAATTGCTAAGGGACTGACAAAGTAACAACTTCTAGTCTAATTTATACCGAAAGAGGTGCAATATACCACTCCCAAACCCTAATTCATAATCTCAAATCAAAGATGTGCACAAATATCAAATAATTGAAGGGGAAAAAAGGGTTTGACAACTTACATTGTAGGTTACGTCAGGCTTCTCGGACTGGCTAAGAAGCGAGATGCTAGAATCGGCCTCGGGGGGCAGCACATCGACGAGCGCGTTGGAGTGGCGGTGAAGTGCGACGGAGGCCGAGGGCTTGAGAAGCTCCCGATTGATGGTGCTCAGGATCCGCACGTAGTAGTTCGACCCGGTGGTGGATCCGACGATGCCGTTGTTCTGATCGACCATCTCCATGAACTGGCCGATGACGAGGGGGACGGACTGGATCCGCTTGACCTCCTCCTGGGCGCGGAGGAGCTCGCGCTTGAGGTTCTTGAGTTCGTCCTTGACGTACTCCTCCTGAATGTCGATGAACTCGATCTGGCGCTGGAGGGACTTGAGGCGGCCGTAAAGGTCGTCCTCTTCGTCAGCGACCGGGACGGGAGAGAGGAGCGCGTCGACGCGCGGGAGGGCGGAGACGGAGGGCTTCCTTGGGTCGATAACCATGGCGGACGCCGCCATGAGAGCGGTGGAGTATTGAGATGGCTTTCCCTTTCTTGATCGGAAGGACGACTGCGACGAGAAACGGGGTTTCTTAACGACGCTTGTCACGTGCCCCGCACGCAAGAGGAGTTGCCTTGCGCGACACGAAGTAACTCTCGTGTCTGGCGTATTAGTAAGCGTCTGGTCCTCGACTTGAGTTACGACTGATTGATGTGGCGAGAATCCAAGGCGATAGGAGGCAACGGTTTCGGTTGTGCGTGTGCCAATCGTAACCGAAGTCGTACCGTCAATATAAAAGAATTAATAGTAATGTAAGGAAATAGAAAAGACGATTAAAATAAGTATTTATTAAATTTTATAAAAAAAATTCAATACCCTCAATTTATTTAAATAGTGATATTGAATTGCCAACAAAATGATAGAAAAAGATTCGTGTAATCAATACAAAATAATTACGATTAAACAACATATTTATTGTGTACATATGATAAATTAGATCAAAGGAACTTATATATTTCAGATATAATATTTAAGAAATTATATTTTGAGATAAATTTGACTGTCTCAGAAAAAAATGAAACACTACCAACAAGAGAAAATCCTATCTATATCTTTAGGACTAATCAACTTCATTCACATACTCTTAACATGAATCAATTTATTAATTTGATTCAAACCTAAATCATTCATCCAAAATAATATCACATTCATTGATATTGTTTGTCACATTCAGAAACCAGTGATATAAGATGTTTAAACCAGTTTAAGAATAATACACCTACTTCTAAGGCTATTCAATTATCCTCCCATGTCCAATGTGGAATTAAACCGAGATAATTCACTCTTATTATTTGCAACAATCAATCATTTACATATTAATTTGGTCAAATGGGATCCTACCCAGAATTCTTGTTCTGAGGTCTATCAAGTGAAAAATCACACCCAACAAGGGGTGAGACAAGTTCAAGGCACACTCATCAAAAGAAGTAAAACTCAAACCCTTACAAACACCACAATCCCATGCTTCCAATTCCCAAACCATCCTTTTTTTGACCTGCAGCTGCATCTGTTCACTTGTTTACAAGTACAATGCCAGAGAGTTCAAGTAAGCAAAAGCATTCCACTCCAAAATGCTCCTCTGAGCTGGTAAGGTCAATTACCTACTCTCACAGTATAATTTTATCCTCCATATATTAGGAAGACATAAAAAGGAATGGCATAGGATCATAAGAGCAAATAATTACAGCATTTCTTTGTCCTTGCACCTAGTTTAATGAAAGATTTATCTCTCTGCTCCATATACTGTGTCTTGCCAGTATCACCTTAGGCACTGTACTTTAGCTTCCCCAGCATTCTCATGAGGCAGATTGCCGTTGTCGTCTTCGCGACTTGGCATCCGATACTTGTGCCTTCTTTGTGCTTTTCTGATGCTTCCTTTGAGATGGGCTGAACATGGCTATCCTGCCTATCCCTCTCGAAATGGATGAAAGGAATGCTTTACTGTGTTCTTGCGACCTGTTGTCCCTCATCCCTTGCTTCATGAATGCTTGTTCCTTCTCCAACTCACTAAGCCTCACACGCATCCTGGCGATTTCTAGCTTTAGTTCTCGGTTCTCCCTCCTGAGGGAGGCATAATTGTCCCTGGGGGAGACTGCAGCACTCTGTACACCACTGCTGCTGATGATCCTCTGGGAGAAGGAACCATCGCCCGAGTTTCCTGAGAGGGCAGACTTGAGGCGGAGCTGCTCAAAGTAGAGGACGCCAACGACCATTTGGACGGGGAGCCGATCGTTTTGAGCAGCGTGGTTGGCAGCTTCTTGAGAGATCTTCTGGCAGTCTATGAGCTTGCACAGCTTCTTGCATTCAGATTCTGTCAGTGATGGATGGGCCTAAGCAAAGGCATTGAAAGTTGGTCAATTGATCATATACCGAGATTTTACAGTCTATGAGCTTGCACAGCTTCTTGCTCTACTGTTTCATTAGGAGACAAACAAACTGAAAGCAAAACTGATTTTTTTTTTGTATTTTCTATATGAATTTGTAATGAAGCAATTGCATCTGTGGTTTCACACACAGCAGCATATAGAGTAATTATACCAACATTATTAACATTGATTTTACAATTTTGATTCATAGGTGTGCAAAAATGGAATGATCATATTGCTTGTCAGAATGAAGGAAAACCAGATTCAACCGAATACTATGACCTACATTTAGCCTAAAGCAGATTCTTTGCAGTACTCGCACAAAAAATAAGATCAATATGCACATTACATTCTATAAGGTCACAAACAAAAAAGATACATTTCAGATTCACACTCATGCACGCTCTTTCGAATAAACTGACGTGCACATACACATTTCTACATACATGCATGGAATTAGATAGTTACCTTCAAGTAGATATCAACAGCTCTATAGAGGCCATCATCAATTATGCGAGCATAATCTGGCAAGAGTTCAATTATTGCCATAAATTTTGACAAACTCAGATGTGGATCTGGTGCAATTTCTGCAAGATATCCATCTATTAACCTCCCTACTTTCAGAACGGAACTGTGACTTGGAGATTTTACGCTCAGAGATTCATATCCACAATGAGATGAATCTTCAGAGTCATCCTCCTCAACCCTTTGGATGAAATTTACCAACATTCGATGGACTGTATCAACATCAAAAACTGAATCGTTTGGCTGAGATGAAGGAATAAGCAGGTCATCAAGTGAAGCCAATTCCAGTTGGAACCCAATTCTCCTCTCCAGCTCCAACCTACAGCCAAGGCTGGTAGCCAACTCGATTGCCATTCTTAGCATCCCAAACAGAAAGGAGAGAGGAACTGTTGTGATGTTCTCGGTTGCCAATAGATCAACAAGAGCCTCTATGATCACTCTCTGCTTGTCTCCAACAACAATGCCAGACTCCCAATTGTGTCGTCTTTCAATACCCTTTAGAGAAGTTTGAGCATAATGCATTAGTGATTGGACAATGCTGTCTGATCTGACCCCAGTTCTCCTCATGGAAGCAATAACTCGCTGATAAATGTCAATTTTTAGCACCGAAAGATCTTCCACCCACCAGTCCTGGCAATGCATCTTTAACTTACCAGATTCATCATCACATTCCAAGCGGGCTAAACCAGAAACCAACTGCTCCTTGCTGGCGTTTATTGCAACTGCATCCACACATCTATCTAGGATACCAACCTCCTCTGCTATGGGATGCAAGCCATCACATGAACATAAAACTTCAAGCGACTTCTCAAGACTTTGCACAACAATCTCACTTAAGTAGGTCTCTGCTCTAGCAATTAGATTTTTCTCCTGGTAATCTTCTGTCATCTCCAGATATTCAGCAATGCAACGGAGATGGGCAACATTAGTTGCAGTGATCTCAAAATTTGTGCCATAACAGAATTTAGCAGCAAGTTCGAAAGCTTCTGCTCCCCCAGGTACACCATGAAGCTCAAGCATGGAGAGATCTGGATCCCTGGAATCCATTACCGTTTTCCGAATTTTTCCACTCCGTGAAACCAAAGGAAACTACAAAATTGTAGGTGAAACTAGTATAAATTTCAATAGGCATCAAGTGCCAAGCTTATGCATTGAAACATGTTTATACTGACTAACAAAAAACTAAAAACCTTGAACGTTTCTGTGGTACAGGAAAACAAGATGTTTTCACAGAATGCACATAAAGAGCAAGGTTAGAAATAAGCAAACATGAAGAAAGACTATTAACTCTTTGTGAGAAGAACAAAATGACACGATGCAAGGATTTTAATCTCAAAAACAGGCAACATCAGTTTGGCTTGGTCTGGCATGTATCAATCAGCATGTTGTGGCATCGGCCTCGTTCTGTCCAATACAATTAAATAACAATTGTCAAGGGTGTGTCAGCTTGTTGCACAAGGTAACAAAGAACATGGCATGTGCAATCATGTTTCTAAAGCCTTTACACCATCTTTCGATGTCTTAAATGCTTTCTTTTCTACTTTGCTTAAAATGATGCATGTTGAAGTTGACAGTGATCAAAAGGGTCTGATCATGAGAGATGATTGAGGATGTCAGAGACAGTGTGCCGGGAATTATTAGGAGAGACACGAGGAAGGAAAATAGGAAACTTTTTCAGTATACTAAAATCGTACGCTGTCATGACATGGTTGCAGACGATCAGGTTGGTGATTCCAATGACCACTGATAAATAGCAGGGAGAAAAGGAAAGAAACAGAAATTCCTCAAAGTTTAACAATCTCCAAAATGGTAGGAACATCAGAAATATTAACAATTATCAGTAATATAGTCAAATGTTCAGAGTAGAGAACTCTAAAGAAACTAGTTTTTATTTTTATCATGGTACTAAAGCAGATCATGTTTAAGACTGCAGATTTTTCCCGCTACCTTTTCCCCTTCTTGAAACAATAATTCACCCATATATGAATTTATGTTCTTACTCAAGTTCACCTCCCAATCCCATTAATCCTTCATTCATCTCATACGTGAAGACTAGATGCCAGAGCTTATTCATCATGTTCCATCCTCTTGTACTTCCTAAACTTTTGGGAAACAGTGGCTGGCCAACTAATCATATTAGCCTCAGTTACTTCTAGAGTATATATTATGTACTTCAGCATCTCTTTGATAATTAAAAGCCATCAAAGTAGTCAACTACCAAGTTTATCTCGAACAAAAAGCACTGGGAATAGATTGTTAATTTGTACAAGACCAGAATTATTTCTTCTGCTATTGAAATTATAGTTTGCAGATCCTTTTATCCTTAGCCCACACTTCAGGACCATTTAATACACCTTGACTTATTATGTATATTTACAAATCAGAAGCTCCATATTGCATTCTATCTTTGATATGATTGTTTATCTTGTTTGGACGGCGTTATTTTCCTTGCATACTTCATGAAGAGACATTCCACGAATGGATGGCTCAAAAAGAAAACTCTGATTTCAGCTTTATCCACATTAGACGAACTTGTAATTTTGCATTGTTGTGTGACAAAATGTTGCTATATGAGCTTTGTGACAAAATGTTTTGACTTAGGGGGATGCAGATGGTCTCATAAGAACATCTATTATGAGTATATACATCCGAATCCAGGTTGCTATATGAGCTTCGTGATGACATCGGCACCATCCATAGAAAATAAGCAAGACAGATAAATTTCTATAAACAAAATTAAAGCAGCTTAAGATCCTCTTTTAACGATAAATGGCTGCCATACCTTGTGTAATAAGAATGATTGTCCATCAACATAAAGGGTTATATCTCCAGCTACATCAGAAAATATCCTGCAGAGCATATCACGACTTTTACAATGAAGAAAAAAAAGGAACTCTTTTTAATATTTATTCATCAGTACCCTCATACGCTCATCTTTTTCGTTTAATGAGAAAGGAGAGGGAGAACGAGTCATATTACAAAATGAGCAGTATAAATGGTAAAATAGCTTTAAAAAATGTAGAACAAGCAATTGTAGCTTTCAAATATGGAGATAGCACTTGTTTCATCCATAGTCAAGAAAGAATGTGAAACACTAGAACTTTACTTGATCTACAAGAACAAATGACACAACCTACATAGTATTCATAAAAGTCATAAGCAGAATGCATCGAAAGCTTAAACCAGAATAAAACTGCCTCCTTTATTCTGGCATTTCATCATACGTTACACACAGAGAGGAATGCAACCAAAAAAGCCCTAAAATTGACGGTTTTCTTCAAGGAGTCACCATGGAAAGCCGAGAAGAACCACTACATTCGATGAGAATCCAGTGGAAACCCAAAAACACGAACTAAGTTACAGAGCACCGGGACAGTAGGGGTTCAAAGTACTCCTCCAACACTTGCAAGAAACCGCGAAAAGAAACCAAAGGAGCGAATGCGAGGCAGGAATCGGTCACCTTCTAGTAGTGATTGGGTTGCAGAACCGGGGTGAGGTCGCCAGCTTCGCCGCTGAGAAAGGGAAAGCGGTCTCCGACATCGCTCCGGTCTCTCGCTCTCTCTCATATGCATAACTATATAGTAATGAATAATAATAATTATAAAGAAAAAGAAAAGGAGGGTAAAGACGACGACCTGTAACGGTTAAAGTTACATCCGTGCCCTCATCATTCGATTTAATTTCATCTTTGCACTGGAGCGACCGATCACGGGTACGGATTCTTAAAACTCGATTCGCTGTAAGGTCCGAAAGCAATTGGTGATTTGGTTGGATTCGGAGTTGAATAGTGGGTGGATCCGACCCGATAAGATGGGGGCTACGTAGGAATGATGGGAACAGGCCGTGGCACGGAACACGATGAGGGCAATCATGCGATGAGGCTTCTTTTCTGTCCTTTATTGTTCACCGGAGTATTTTATGTGGAAAGAAGCAATAAAGCGTGGGATTTGGGTGGCTCGCCGGCACAGGAAAGCGTGCTCGCTCGCCCCCGACTACCCTCGCCTTTTAGTGGAAATGACGGGGACGAGCTTTTGGCGTTAAGGCTGGTGCGGGACTGGGATTCGGTCGGGGAAGATTGACCGAGGAATGATTGGTCAAAATTAGGATTTGAATGTGGGATTGGGTTGGATTTGGGCCCGTAATTGACGAGGCCCACAGGCCCAACACTTAATCGATGGGACGAACGAGACGATCATGGGGAATGCCAAGCCATTAGACCCATTAGGAGACCCACTTTTTGTGCCTCAAGAAAAATAGGCTTAATTACTTACGAAAATGAGGACAAATTTCTCAATAACATGAAAACTCAAAAGTAGGATAAATACATCCAAAGGAAATTTCACCTTTTAAAAATAGTTTTTACTATCAAGATTTTAGCTAATGTTGTCCCCCATAATTGGTTTTTATATAAGGATTTTTTTCTATTAATTTGATAAAAATATTCTTTCACCCTCCCCAATCCACTCTCATCAACATATCGCCATCCCTCCATCCATCCTAAGTGATATCACTCGTCGCCTTTACTCTCATTGTGAGCGATTTTTTCTCTTTCTCATCCTCGTTCTTATAACTGTTTATATTGGAAAGAAGCGTGACTATTGGTAGAGGATGAAGGGATATTTTCATCAAAGAACAAAAGTAAATTTCCTTACATAAAAATCAATTAAGAGGACACTATTAACTAAAAACCTAATAATTTTTTTAAGTTATATATATATATATATATATATATATATATATATATATTACCAACCACCAACTATAGTTTGTTTGTTTGAACTCACAACATGGACTGAATAAAAAAGCATAAATCACAAAAGATGGACAGTGTAATTATTGATAAAACAAAGATTTATCGATAAGACACACATCTATAGAAAACATTATGTAAAATAACTAAACTAGCCACTATGAATCCTTCAATTAATTTGGATCAAATTAACTAAAATAGCAGATGCAAAAACATTAATTGGAATCACTTAATTAGCCAACTAAATAACTTTTATCATGATGTGAGAGTATGAGGTGGTCAGGAAAATTTGCTGAGTAGTTTGTCAGTCATGTCATGTTAATGGTGAAAACATAAGATTTTGCTTCAGGAGAATGACAATAGCTTGCAAATTATGCATAGGAAGATGATCTAAAACATCAAAGGGACACATTCTTCCTGTTCATTGTGGCTTCTGTTGATGTGTTAGCTGTGTGTCTTTTGAACAATGTTTGCAGCAATGAGAATACTTTTTGTGTTATGTGACAAAGCAGTTACCAATAAGAGTTTCACACATATGCATAATAGTTTTCACAGCACCAGAAACATGATTTTATATTAATAAAATATAATATCAATCTCTTGCTCACGGAGTAAAATAACACAGTGAAGAACTACATCAAGAAGATCATCAGACATTATTAAGAAAAATGATCACCAATTTAAAGTTTGAAGTCAATTAATGGGCATGCTCAATTGACCACCATCCCAAGGAAAGAGCACCTGAATTGAAGTTTGGCAGTCATGTACTTTAGCATATTAATACTGCCACAATATGATTAGCGTAAGAAAGATAGTTTCTGACACGAAGATCAAAGTTGCTAAAATAACAAAGGCACTGTTCATTTGCTCATCTGTGACAGATTGCAGATCAGGGTCAACCACACAAAATGAATGAAAAGAATATTTTAGGTTTATGTATGGTACATAGGAGACTTCGATAGTTTCTTTCCATCTGAAGATGACTGAGTAGAACAAACAATAAAGTGGCCACATTTTAACTCCTTTGAAGAAGCCCATTTTTACAAGGAAATGACGACAAGGCAAAGAGTAGGTTGAATGAAACTTTCTAAACCATCAGAGAGGAGTAAATGATTCTACTGTCCTGTTTTTGTTCCTCTTATTCCGCTATTAAATGGAGAAGCGCTGCCGCTTGGATGAGGGCTGTCATCTCTCAAACTTGAATTTAACAAGGCTAATTCTCTAAGCTGTTGCCTCTTATAATAGTCCTGTGATTCATCCTGTAGCATAAAACTTTATTATAACAAGGTTGGAAAGAGTAGATCAGCACAAAAAAGAACCAAACCATCTAGAAAAAGATCGGCATTAGCAAAAATGAGCATGTTTCAATGACAAATGGCAGGAGAAGGCAAGACCGTGAAAGAGGAGTTCTAAGGTTAAGCAAAGAGAGAAAAAGAAAAAGAAGCACTTTTACATGATAAATCACTATTTGTAATGTGAAACCAATAATTGAATTCCCATGTATAAAGTTTGGACATTCAAATCTCCGTACATTTGTGTTGGTACATTCCATGCCGACCGGCACACATCAAATTCTGCCCTATGCAGTCCTTGGCATGCGATCTTGAACATGCCTGCATCGTGTCGGCACAACATGATACCTGTCATGCTAGCATGCAACTAGCATGTGTTTAGTAAACAATAACTTGACTTACTATATTTGTGCCAGTAAAAGTAGAATGATTGCGATGATACTATCCTCCTTGAGAGAAAACCTGATCTTCTATTCAAATATGACATTCACTTATATCTTTTGTGCACAAGGTGCACATTCAGATACAAACAGTCTAAGTGATTGATTGTTATTGGTCATAAAACAAAAAAAAGGGTGTTGGCATTAGCTCTTGACGGATGTTTGATCAGCGAAGCTAAAAATTGGAACATGCAGTGATGAACACATCCCTTGTAAGTGTTGTGCACACTGCTAAGAAACTATAAGAACTATTGTTGTGCATTTATCTGTGAAGATACAGTTCAGTAAAATGGTAGTCCTCTTGCTTCTGATGCATGTTATCAGTTGCAACTGTCAACTGACAAATATTAGGAACTCAGAATCATGACAACATGGGGAAAAGGGACTCAATCGTATGCCACTTTATCAATGTAAGTACAATGAATTTGTCATTCTCATTTTAATTCCAGATCAGAACTTTCAGGGTATCATGATAGTTCCCTTTGCCTTCCAAAAAGCTCTCAATAATCTTGGTCTGTATGATTTTCTAATAATGAAGCATAAAAGATAAGCTAACCTTTGTATATATCTAGATTACAGTTGAAGTTTTAAGTGCTGATGGATGGTTATCATATATGAAACCATGAACCAACAACAAAAGCTGATGGTAATTACTTCAAATAGCAATGAGTATAGAGATAGTCTGATCAATGTCTAATAAAGCTTTAGTATACAGGTGAATGAATGGTATTTTCTGTGAACTACTCACCACTGGTTTCAGCAGCTCTTCTATAACTTCCTGTGCATGTCTCAGTCTAGTCTCAATGACATTTGCTGGTAATTCGGCCTCAATCAATATATGCAATGGATCATTTAAGTGTTCGTAACCTGGTCTTCCCCTCAGTTTTTCCTCCTTTATAGCAAGAAAAGTAATCGAGATAAATATAGGCACAAATACAGGAGGAAAAACTATGTGCTATGTGCCATAGGTATCAATTTATCCTTCAAACTAGAAGGACAAACAAAAAAAAATTGTCCAGAAAGAGGAATGCTGCCGTATTACTTAAATAGTTCAAAAATTAGTTAGAGATAAACAAAAGGAACAGGCCTTTGACATGATAATTTAAAATTGCAATGTTGAAGGCATGGAAGCAGACCAACCTTATTTAAAAACCAAAACATAGACACATTAAAAGAAAACTATGAATATACTGTATAGTGTATACTATATTCCTAGTTCTATAGGAACACCAGTAAGAAAAGGGAGCAGGTAGCAAAACAATATTAAGTAGAAAGGAGCAAAATATTGCCTAATTCTCATTACCTGGACAGGATCTTTTATTGAACCCTTTCCTCTAATGTAAACACGACATCCAGTTGATGCTTCAACTCTTTTCAGTGAATTACCCCTGGGTCCGAGAAGGCGCCCAACAAAATTGAACTAAACGACACATAAAAAAGTGAATGACAGACCAAAGAACAGCATGTAAAAGGCGTGGAAATGAAAGACATACATTAGGATAGGCATTCACTGGGACTTCTAAGCGTAATATCTTCTTTATAATGCATGAGCTTGGACCTGTTGCTCCTCGCTGATCCATTGTAAATCTTTGCGGAAAACCTAATCCCTTCTCAAGGATAAATTAGATTTATCAGCTAAGATAGAAGATCAACTTGAGAAGATGCATAATTTACTACAATTACTTGGCCAAACAACCATGGGTATTGAAAAAAATGGAAAACTACATAACAGGAATTTTGCAATACTAAGCAGCAGCTCATATATGGTTTTCTTATAATGGTATCAGCTACATATTTGAGTAAATATGAGAGAAACCAGTAATTAGATCTGTTCACTGTCTTTAACAACCAGGTATCTGACCTTCTCATAATTATGAATTTAATCAGACTAAATAAAGCACAGAGTAGAAAATGCTGAAGGTGGCACCATTCTCTTTGATAAT